AAAAAAAAAAAAAAAAAAAAAAAAAAAATATTAGCGTTATAAATTTTTTTTTAAATAATACTAACAGACTTCTGTATATTCGCTGTCGATTGAATTTTCCAGGCTTTTCATTACATGTTGCATGACAACATCCATGTAAGGAATTAAATGATCAACTGATACTTTAGCAACAGCACTAAAAAGTCCATAGCATACAGCTCGAACTTCTGGTTGGTTATCTTTAGCTTCTTGAAGAAGTGATAGTCCACATTTTAAACTTGAATCTAAATAGGGTTCAAAAAGCTTGGGATCAAGGGCTTCCACAAATTCAGAAAGGAGTTCTAAAAAATTTTTTTTTCAAATTTATAATAAGAAACTTTAATTTAAAAACAATATTATCTATAAAAATACATACGAATAACCATAATTTGTAAACTTTCTAAATTTTCATTAATCCCTGGAGTTAAATAACAATTAAGAAGTTCCATGATAGGTATAAAATAAGGGGCTACTAAATCTCCACCAGATTTAACTGAAAATGTAATAAATAAAGCTAAATACCATTTAAACTAGTTATATAAACAAAATAAAAGTTTAAAAAATAAAAAAAATAAATTTACTTGTAAGTGAATCATACCTATACTACACATAATAGTAATAGCTTTATCTTTCAATTCAATACAACATTTTTCATTTCTTAAAATATCCATTACAACACCAGTCATTTCTGGCAAATATTCTTCAATACCTCCTTCCATGCTATCTATGTATTTATCAAGAGCAAAAAATATCATTCGGACCTCAGAGCTACACTCAGATTTAGTATATTCTTTAATTAATTTTTCTTTGAACATTTTCATTAATTCAGGTAATATTTCAGCTGCATATGTACTAACTTGGGGCTGAATAAATTTGAAAAATGAATTTTTTATTATATAAAAATGAATTTACTTACCTGGACATATTGTGAAACTTCACCTAATGCGTACATAGCTGAAGATTTTACAGTTTCGTTTGTACTGTTTAATCCCATTTTAATTGCTGTAACAAATTGTTTCAAATAACTTTTTTTCAGATATTCTGAACAACCATCAGATACATAAGCCATAGTCATATAAGATGCTTTTAATGCATTGGGATCTTGGGAAGTATAAGCAGCATCAATTAACTTTATCTAAACACAAAACAACATTAAACTAATTTAAGAGTTCAAGAGTCAGAAAATAAAACATATAAGAGGAATAATAGTACATACCATAATAGGCATGAAAGTAGATGCAGATATTTCATCAGCAATAGCTGCTAAACAGTCTCCAGCTGAATTCATGGGATTTAATGCATACTCTTCTAAAAACCAAGTATCATCATCAGTTTCTTCACTTAAAATGCTGAACATCAATTCTATTATAGGTTGCAATAAATTTAGCTTAACTAGAATCTAAGAAATTAAAATACAATTTTAATATTTTTTTAGAAGAATTTAAAAAATGTTTAATAAAAAAAATATAACTAATTATGTATAATAAAAGAATTAACATACAATTTACTTACTTTCTTTTTGCTTCTAATAATGGTAGAGATTAGATTAATACTATTACATCTTAAGGTTTCATCTATGTCCTTATTACCAGCTAATTGTGCAGAAACTTGAACAACTTGTTTCAAATGAGGTAGTAATGCCTGAATTGAAAACTCACACATTGATCCTAACAACTGATAGCAATCACATGCATTGTCCGGATTAGAAGTTGAAAGTGAAAGTATAATGTTCAAAACACGTGGTACCGAGTTAGAATAAGCTTGCATAACCTTATGCACAAAATTTAGTTAAATAAACATAATATTGTGTCAAATTAAATGTGAATCTTACTTCAGGTACTTGAGCTGATAGTTCAATAATATTATTCATAGCAATAATGGTATCATAAGCCGCAGATGAATTGCCATCATCAATTGTACTTAGAATAGTAGTAAAATAACTAACAAATGTTAAAATATGTGGTTCAAACATTTGAGGAATATAATCTGATAAGTTTTTAATAATAAACATTCCAAACTACAAAATTGATAATTAATATACATAAATTGTTAAATATTAATATAATTCTACAATAAATTTATAATTAAATTTGTTGAAAATGCATTACTTTATAATTAAAATATTTAAACAGATATAACTAAAAATATGTCATGTTACCTTTCTTTCATTAGTATCATTGCTTTTCATATAGGTTTCAATAAAATTAAACAATTCATTCCATGATCCTCTCATAAGTTCATGTTTGGCTATAACAGCAATTAATTGAAGAATATGTTTCTTTACATGAAGACTAGGTTCGTCAATAACTGTTTTTAATAAAAATTGTTTCATTCTATAAAAGTAATAGAATTGAACTCAAGGCTTAATTTCGTAAAATTTTAAGAAATTAAATTACTGTTCCCGAATATCAGATGATATAGCTGTCCATGTGTTCCTTTTATTTAGTTTCTTCCTTATTACAAGGGCTGCATATTCTTTCAATCTATCTTCTTTACTTGAACTAATTACAGTACACAGAATAACATAAGTTTGAGGATTTTTTAATGCTCCAGTTAGTTCATCTGTAGCCTGAAAATACAAATAAGTAATATGACATAAAATGACGGCATAATCGCATTTGTAAATACGTGTTTTATAATATCGTTGTTTGGTTCAAGCAAACATTTAAGTATGCGTTCCATTTCAGCAATATCAGCCATCATTTTTGCGAAGTCAATTCTATTTTTATAAAACTACAAGGGATACGGCCCAACACGTGTTGATAGATTACTCTTAAGGATCCAAAAGACCGAACAGAAATCACATGGCCGGAACTCGTTATTGCTGAATTTTATCACTATTATCAAAAAGTTCATTATTGGTTAATAATTAAAGATAAAGTTTTTAAATCAAGAGTGACCAACATACTCCTTAAATCAAGTTCAAATATTAATAAATGGGATCTCTAGCAATGCTTAGATACTACAGTGTTTATAAATTTCAGAGATTATTTAAAATAAGTATATTTCAAAATCATTTTTAATAACTATTCAGATAGTCAAAAACTTACTAAGCCATTTGAAAATTTATATATATCATATACATGCATCTTGGAAATGTTTTGATGGGAATACTGGGAGATATTTACTTAACTCGACGTCTAAAACTATCCATTAAAGTTTAAATTGTATGAATACAAAATAACTAAATACATTTATAAAAGTTTTAAATGATCATGAAAGTAAAATATTGCGCTTGCAGAAATAAAAATTAATAATAAGAAAAAAATTTCTTTGTACCAAAAATTCCCCAATGTCCTGAGAAAAGACATTAAAAGAAAACAATAATTGTTATACTAAAACGGAGATGCATTTAGGGAAAGCGAGTGCCCTAGGCAGCAATTAAAAATTAAACAAATTTTTATTTGATTTTTTATTAAAAATTAATAGTGAGCAAATATCCACTTCAATATTATCCCAAATCTTTAGAGTTATAGTGACTTAAAAGGAAAATATGAGGTAGATGTAAAACTAAAAAATAAAATATTCTATTTTGGTTTGACTACAAAGGGCAATAGATTTTTTTAAATAAAATGCTATTTATTATCGATTTTTTTGCCATATGGATTGAAAATACATAATTTCTTAATTTTCATGGAATCAATTTGTTGTCACTTATTTCCTTTCAGCTCTAGGTACCTCAAATTATCTATTAACCTTATGAAAAACCTACCGGTATGATTCATAAACGTATCATAATTTTGTGATAAGAATCAAAGAATAAATTATTCTTGACGAAAACTTATCTCAAATGTATGCTTTTAAATTCAATTTTAAATTTTTTTACTGTTGATAATTTTTTCTAAAACAAATACTTATCTATTTATCTAATAATGTATTAGTTATTAGAAAAACTTGAGTTTCCAAACATTTATTAAAAATATAAAATTTAAGACTTCATCATGAATATGAAATTTCTTATTAATTTATTTCTTCGGCCTAAAGTAAGCGTAATTTTTATAAATACTTAATTTATTTGAATTTATCTTTATTATGCTAGTTGAAAAATATGGTGTTTTTTTAAATTTCAAAATGAAATTCACCTTAAATTGCATTACAATTAATCTATAAATCATGTTTTTGTTATAGATTCAACCAATAAAAAGCTTTCATTCATTTCATAACTCAAAATATATTTTTATAAGTTCTACAAAATTTAAAAGACTTACAGTTAATAATAAATTGTATGTATGTGTTTTTTCTATGCGAAACTTAAATACAAAAAATGATAAGCCTATTTATAATGAAAATTTAACTGAAAAATTTATATCTGAAGTTCCAGAAACACAATTTGAACCCATTGATGTTTTAGTAAGTTAAATAAATAATTTATTTCAAGATCAGTAGTAATTGCAAGTAATTTTGATAGAAGAATGTTTTAGAAGACGAAACTTTACAAAATGTTGGATTAGGTTCTTGGACTCCAGTTGGTTTAGTTCAAAATGCATTACAGTTCATGCATATCACCTTTGATATACCTTGGTGGTTAACAATAGTAGCAGGTATCTATGGAAGTCATTAAATTAATAAAAATAAAATGTAGTAATTTTATTAAATGACATTTTTTAGGCACTACAATTTTGCGTTTGTTAGTGTTTCCTTTAGTTATTGCATCTCAGCGACACTCTGTAAAAATGAATAATATTATGCCACAAATCCAAAGTTATCAACGACAAATAACGTATTTTAGACTACAAGGAAATCCTTATGAAAGTAATTATTTTAAAATAGTTAACAGTTGTTTTATTTTCAATTTTTAAGGAATTACTCACTAGTTTCTATTATTTTTTCATAGTGACAAAAGCATCAAAAGATTTGATGCAATTATTGCAAACACATCAAGTTAATCCAATTAAGGGTATGATTTTACCTATTATACAGGTAGTATTTAATTACTTACTGAAATTACCCAATTTAATTGACTGAGTTCTTCATTTTTAGCTTCCTATATTTTTGAGTATGTTTTTGGGACTAAGAGAAATGGCAATGCTTCCTCTTGAAAGTTTAGTGTGTGGAGGACTCTGGTGGTTTTCGGATCTTACTATACCTGATCCTTATTTTATAATGCCCTTTGTAACTGTGGTTACCCTTGGAACAACTCTAGAAGTAATATTACTAAACAAAAATAAATAATATTTCTCATTCTTATTATAGATTTTGTTTTAGTTTGGAATTGATGTAAGCAAAATTACTTCAGGTGTTGTTTATGGAAAATATGTGAAATATGGATTAAGAGTATTACCCCTCGCTGTATTTCCATTTATTATGAATTTCCCTGGTGTAAGCAAGTTATATATCAATTATTAATGTCATACTGAGTGTTCAATTTATCATAAATCACTGATTAACCTCAAAATAAATAAAATATTAAAAAAAATAATTTTCGTTTTTCTTTTTAAGTTACATAAATTTTTAATTTATTAGTTATAAATAATGACTTATTAGGATATCAACTATTTTTTTCAAATGGTTACATACATATTTAAATAGATCAATTTCTATTTAAAAAACTAGTTAATTGTGTTCATTGGCATTTGAAAATATAAAGTTGACACCTATATAAGTTTTAAGGGATGATTCTAAATTAATATTAATTAATTAATAATAAGCTGACAAATTAAATAATATATGTAACTAAAAAACATTAAAAATTTGTTTTTAAAATATTGTATTTATTTGTGAGTAATCTGATGGTTTTTGATAAACCGATCACTCTGTATATTTTTATGTAAATATTATAAAAAATTGTATAAATTAGAAATTAAATTGGATCCATTTATGTATATATATTATATATATATTTACAATAAAATTATAGCACTGATTTTTTTTCGTTAGTTAAGTTAAGGATAACTTAATTAAATTAATAAAACTTAATAGTTGAGTATAATGATAGTATATTCATGATAAATTTTTAATAAAACCATGATCTTTTAGACTACAATAGAAGTAATCTATATATTGTTAATTTCAAATTGTATAAAATTTACATATAATAAGTATGCTTAGGATCGTATAGTATATACATATACTTACTAGACATAGCAGAATAATATATAAATACCTTTCAGAGTATAATGATTTCAAATATATAATTTTATATTGCATATTTTTGCATTTTTTTTTAATATTCTTATATTGGGATATATTTTGCTATTTCTACTTTTATTTAGCATATTTTTAAAATTTTGGTGAGTATTAGTATTTTCAATTAAAAAAAAAAAAAATTACCTATTTTGTATTTGAAATAACTATATATGAAAAATGATTGGCTCCAGTTTATTATGTTCAGAAAATAAACTGATTAAATAATATGTATTTTTTGGTTTTTTATGTGATAAGCTACATGTTTACCGATGTGACCATTATGTTGTTGAATGATTGTATTTACGATTTTGTATTTTGTTAGTCATCCACAATTGTTTTCATGTAACGATGGATATAAATGAAATTCTATAGATATTACAATTCAAATAGTTCAAACTTATCATGAGCAGATGTCCATTCAGATCACAATTTACTATAAGCAATAGTCAAGATTAAACTTAAGAAAATAACATGATAGTCAAGCGGCCCTGAAAGCACTCTACAATTATCAGGTGAATTTAAAGTTTGTCCTTGAATACAGGGTAACTTTAGAATCACTATCGAGGTTCAACAAATTTACACTAGCGTGGGTGCCAGGACACAACGATGTCATTGGGAATGAAAAAGTTGACTTTCTAGCTAAAAAAGGAGTAGAGAACACATATGCTGAACTAAAACCAGTTGTAGGACTCACTGAGAAATCGCTCAAAGCGCTACCCAAGAATTGGTGCAGAGCACAACACACGAAAATCTGGAAGTACTTGGTAATACCTAGACAATCTAAAATGTTTATCAAGACTCCTGGTTTATTGCTGGGTGATCTTAATAGCATGACTAGACATCAAATAAGCACCCTGACTGGTCTACTGACAGGACATGGTCATTTGCTTAAACATCTTTATGCAATGGGGGTATCTGAAACACCATTGTGCATGAAGTGTGGAGTAGAAGAGGAAGACTTATTTCACATTATGTGCGAATGTGAAGCCTTGTACACACTAAGATCAAACTACTTGATTAAACCTTTTCCTGAAAATGAAGATATAAAAAACCTAAGACCCATAGAGATACTTAACTTTGCTGGAAAGACAGGACTCTTAGGTCATCTACATGGGGTGACTTGTTAGTCCACTCTTATACAATGATAGGTATAAAGTAATAACACCTAGGTGTGTAAACCGAATCATGACAATTTGGTATGAGGTGTGCACATTGGACCAGCCATATGCATGGGCATATGTCCACCTTACTAATAACTAAAACTATGAGAATAAAACAACTAACTCAGAAAAATTAATTAAATTTAGAAATTCTGACAATGAGAAAATACAAGATGAACTAATAGCAGACATAGAAAGTAGAATAGAATTGATACAAGATAAGATAGTAAATGAAAAATCGGAAGTCAGCATCGATAAAATAGGGCAATCATTTAAAAAGTCCCATTACATAAGTAGCCAAAAATAAATTAGAGCAGATTATTAAAACCAAGAAAAAACCACAGATAACTGACAAGATTCTTAATTTAATGAATGAAAGAAGAAGGCATATAAACAAATCCACAGACAAATAAAAAGAGAAATATGAATTGCAAAAAAAGAACATTTCCCAAATGAATGTAAAGAAATTACAAATTATATGAGGGTTGGTGAAAATTTACATAAAAAAATTAAAGAAGCACCTAGAATAGTATCAAAATCTCCAGAAAGCATCTTAAAAGATACAAATACTTAATAACAAATCTATCAAAAATTTCAATCAATCGAATCCAAGTATTTGAGATGTGTATATACCACAAAGTATTAAAAATTAGTTAGTGGGATCACATAGCGAATATCAGTGTACTAAAAAGAACAAGTAAAGAACTTAAAGTAGTGAGAACTTCAGTATCTAAGACAGTTATGGGATATCCAGAAAAATATAGTTTACTATAATTTATAATCCAGGATAAAATAGTTGGAAAGAGGAGCCGTGGAAGACCTCAAATTTCTTGGTTGGATAATCTCAAAAAATGGTTCAATACATCTATTATATCTTTATACAAAATAGCCATTAATAAAGATCAAATTACTAACATGATTGCTAACGTTCATTAATAAATATGGCACTTGAAGAAGAAAATTTTTAAAAAATGTACTGTCGAAAATAAATATTTGAAAGTATAAAAAAATATTTTTGAAGTTGGTTGACCCAAGTAGTTATGATAAAAGCGAGGAAAAAAAGTTGTTCTATTTAAGTTTGAAGTTATGCTACGATTTATATAAAAGCATATTAATGTATTTTTTAGAGCTATAAGTCTTAATATTTATTAGGCTATAAGCTTAATAATAAGCAACGAAGTAACAACATTGTGCTAAAAATAATACAATTTCTGATTTGTTTTTGTGGTATTAACTATTGCTTTTTGTAAACTTATTGAGACATTTTTTGTTCTTAACAATTTGTTTCTGTTTAATGCCAATACAATTTTTATTTTTTGATAAATTCTGTAGTTTTATAATAAAAATACATGAAAGTATAAGTAACTGTTGCAACAATGTCTGATTTTTTTTATTTATTAACTATGAAAAAACGATCTACATTTTCAATGAATTAGTTATAATTAGTTTAATATTTATTAATGCATATATGTTATAAAACTAAAAATCAAAGGCAACAAAATGGTCAATAATCATATTTCAGGTACTATATAATTTTAAGTAGAATGGTTAAACAAAATTATTTGGGGCATAATTTAGTGAAGGTAAGGATTATAAGTTTCCCCAAAATAAAAATATAAACAAGATTCAATTTTTTTCACTTGATAGAAAAGTAAAAGATTTTCTTAAAAGTGCCTCTATTTAACCCTTACCCTAATTAAATCACCGGAGATATCTATTTTTATACAAACAAAAATATTTGAAGTATTATTATTATGAGCTATAATAATCAGACATAATATTTTAATCTAGTATAATTTATTATTGGGTTGTAATTCATGTACTAATCCAAATAGTTTTTGAATTATTTATAGGTACTAAGTAAAATCATTTATATAGATTTTATTTTATTTTAGGCTGTTTGTTTATATTGGGCATCAACTAACTTTATTTCTCTATGTCAAGTAATGTTCTTGAAAATTCCTAAAGTCAGAAAATATTTTAACATTGATGATGATATGAAAACTAAAGAATCTGGAACAAAAAATGGTGGTTTTGTTGATGATTTTAAAGAATGTAAGATAAATATATTATTTTTTAAATAAGTGTGCTACTTATATTTCTGCATAACATTTTAGCCTGGAAAAACATGAAAATTATTAAAGAAATTGAAGAAAGAGAATATATAAATAATATGAAGCTTAAACAAATATCTAAATCATCACCTATTAGCACATTTAAATATGATGCTTCTATTGAAGGAGGCTTAAAAAAAGAAAAGCAGCGTAAATAATATTAATTTGTTAATATTTTTTAAGGTTATAGATTTATTTATACTGTACATAAATAGAGTAGTAAAAAGAAAATTATTTAATAAAAATGTTAATTGAATATATGATTTACTAATTCATAAGTAATATTTCACTTGAGTTAAAATATAACAGATCTACCTGCTTCATTCATCCTCATGGTGTATTAATTTTACCATGATGTGTTTATTTTTTTGTGTCTGACATTAAAATAATACGTTTTTTTTTAAAGATTTTACTTAAAGATCTTACGATATTTTTAATGTTAATTAAGAAAAGTTATAAAATTTTACATCCAACTTGTCGTTTTTTTCATTTTGTTGTACTTCTCAGGTGGGTATATTTATGTATATTATAACTTTAATTCTTTTATCGCAAAATTGAAACATAATTAGTCATCACATAGAACATAATAACGTTTCTGTTCTTATATTTTAAAATCACCTTATACAAGACATCAAATTAATAATGCGATGAAAAAATTATTAACTGATATTTATGAAGAGAGAATATTCTAACTACTAGAATAAAACCATGATTATTTATTAAAATATTTTACAATATTATCATAGTAATTTAATTTATTTTTTTATTTTGCAACTAAAATAATGAATTGAATAATTATAACATTTATAATACAACGTTATTGCCGTCAAAGATTAGTAACAAATCAAACCAGACTACAAGACACTCCGGAGGCCATATTATCCAAGTGCATCGACTGTTTTGAAGTACCACAGTAGGCAAATATAACGCAGGTCTTCTTCGTAAAATATGCAACATTGCCGCTTTAAAAGCTTCGAAAAAACAAAAAAAAATAACTCATTGTTTTGTATAATTTATATGAATGTACTTTATATTGAAGCTGTTGGAATATTTTACTATAAAAAATATATTTTTGTTTTATTCAATATGTTTTTTATTTGTTTGTTACAAAATTTCTGTTAACCTTCTATTCGGTTAATAACCGTCACAGTCATGGTCTCGATGGGGACGCCAAATCGAAGTTTTACTTTACTTATTTTTGTATATATGTATGCTTTAAAATTATTTTTATTAATTATTATAAATTTATTACGAACAGGCGAAGAAAGCAAAGTCATAAGTTTAAAATATTACGAATATGGTTGCTCCATTTTAATAGTTTATCAATAGTTAAACCTAAATGTTTCACTATATCGAAGGAGGGAATGGAAGTACTATTTAGAGTTCAGCACGGGCAGAGTGACTTAAAGTAAAAGTTGTATGTACCGATTTGTTCTGATTAGATTGTATACGCTATTTATTATACCGTGCGATTATCAGGTTAAGGTGGCAAGTTAGCAGACCACCGAGATGGCAACATATAAGTTTTCATGTATTGAGATAATGGCGTTTTGTTAATAAAATGTATTTGTTGCAGTAAAACTGTAAACGGAGGGACATATTTTACAGTGGGCCAACTCATCATAGTATTAGTAGTTGTCATTGTAGACATTTAATCATAGATATGTTAACGTAGACTATATGAGTAAAATTATTTTCATATACTCTATTTTAACTAGTGACATGCAATTTTTTGGCAAATTTACAATTGAAATTGTATTAACTAATTGACGTACAAAATAAGTAAGGTAAAATTAGATGATAACAATGTTTTATAAGTGTCAAACAACTTTATTTAAATTAAACAGATAATTGAACAAAAAAAATTAACAAAATAGCAAAAAAACGAAAAATTAAATAATGTAACTACAAACAAATATATAAACAATAAATAAAGAAGTCGGATGAAAATGCAAATAGTTCATAATAAATAAACAAGAGTATTTTTAATGGAAAAAGACATCATTGTCAGCACGTAATCTTCCGTTGACTGTCGAATGCAAATTAATAGGAGTTATGAGGCAGTATAGCAAGTTGTAATTAAATCAGTTTCACCACCGTACTCGGTCCAATATTTTTTATTGCTTCTACGTTAGCAAAAACTGTAGTCAGCATTTCATTTGGCGGAGGTGTTACGACGATTTCAATTAATAATGACTCTCCTTCGAAGTGTTTTGGCATCTCATAGACTTCTTTTCGGTTAAAGAACATCACTTGTGCTGTGTCAATCAAGTAAATTTTCAACATACCATCGTTCGTCTCGTCCATAATTTTCCCACGGTACCATTCAGCGCCAAAAAATATCAAGCACATGTCGTACTTCTCAACTTTCTCGATACGTTTTAAGTTATTTTCAATTTTGCGTAGTTTATCACACAAGGTGATTACCGACTTTCTACTCTCCATCGTGTGTACCAGATAACATGTCTTCGTTCGTTTTTGAACTATCATTATCTGTGGAAAGATTATTGTAATAATAGATTGATTGTATGATAAATATAAATAACTAACTTTTTGCGTCTCGCCTAGTTTTAATGTACGTTTCTTAGTACACGGGTCTTCTGTTATGTCAGTGCTGAGATTTTGTTCTTTGCAACATTTTTCTTCAATTTCACATCGGTTCATATCTGTGGTCTTAATGTCGTATTGTGTAAGCTGCGGTTCTTTTGAAGTAACGATGTTCTTGTATTGTTTAAGTCGGTCTTGAGCTGAATAACGTGTATTATCGGTGTTGTACAGTTGTTTATTTTCGGGCTGTTTGAATTTATTTGTTTGATGAACGATTTGTGGCTCCTCAGTTTTACGGTATTTCATTAGTCTATCTTGGGCCGTATAACGTTTGGCATTATATGTTGCGTAATTGTTCGGCTTAAGTCCAGGTTTATATGCGTTCTTCTTTGCATAAGTCTTCTCATATTTATTGCCGACGTTTTTGGGTTTCAAATTCTCAGCATTCCAAATCTGAGTGTTGAGACATTTTTGAGATGTTGAATATGTTAATACGAGTTCGTTTTTGTCAATGAGTGCCTTTAAAAATATAAGTATAAATATCTATGCTATGTACACATATTTTTTTTTCACTTACGATGTTAAATATTTCTTTCTTTTTGATGACATTGGTAAGTATATTCATAGAGGACGTGTCAAAAAATTCTCCACTTATTCCTCGGAGTTTAACTCGATACTCTTCGGGCTGTTCACGATTCTTGTCATTTACTTTGATAACGGTTAAATTTTGCAAGTAGTCATAATATCTTATGACGATCCGATCTCCTCTCTCTAACGGTTCCATAATTATTGCAAGTGAATTCGACGGCTATTTTTGGAAATAGTCAATATGTTCGACTTGCGAATGTCGCGTTGTTTTCAAGATTTTTGAAATTTGATTTCGACGCGACTGAGACTTATAGACTAGATGGCTTCCACAAGAGCTTATATGTTCTTTCTTCGCAGGTTAGACTAAAAGTCCCAATGAATTTTTAGTTTACTAGATCTTTTATACTAATTTTTTCCCGATTTTTTTGGCCAGTAACAAATTATTTCAAAAGTAAATATTTTATTCACGAGCGCCATAAATTGTTTTTAGCCAATATTTAAATTATATTTTTTTGAATTATACACGTATACATACGAATAAAAATCAACTATAATTTAGTGACCGAAATAAGTTATTATCGAATGAATGTTATAAAAAATATGCCTACTCTTTGATTTATAGAAATAGTTTTTAAGATATAATTCATTTTTAAGGAATTGACAGTNTGCCTACTCTTTGATTAATAGAAATAGTTTTTAAGATATAATTCATTTTTAAGGAATTTACAGTAGCTTTATTTAATTAACATACTGTTACGGTTTGTAACTTAAATTAATTACATTTTATCAAACATTTTAATAATTGTTGGCCAATTGTAAAAAATATTTTGTTATATTAATTGGCTTAAATAAAAAGTAAACAAGACTTAATTGGCCAACGACAAATAACGTTGCTAAAACAATATTTTTCATTAATTCAAAGTAAAATATGTTATTTAATAATCAATCACTATAGATTGTTTTCAGCCAATATTTAAATTATATTTTTTTGGTTTATACATAATGTTATACAACAAATTTTCTATTCTTGATTTCATAGAAATAGTTTCTAAAATATAACACATTTTATGCAACAAATTTAATAATTATTTATTGTATATTTATAAAATGTCTAACATTGTAGGCCTCTTCTAAATCCCAAGAAAATTGTTTTATAAATTTGAAATTTAGTTGAAACATAGATTATACACTATACAATACCACATTTGAAAATCACTATAAAAAACAAGGGAGTCGCGGTACAATGNAAAAACAAGGGAGTCGCAGTACAATGGTGACGAGGCATAGTTGAATAAAAAAAAAACGCTTCGATGCAAATTTTTAGATAGTGTTTCATTTAAAAAAATTATTGGATTATTCCAAAAGCTACATGATTAGCTAGTTCCTTATTAATAGCCTGATTAATATAAAGTATGTCGAATGAAAAAGGGATATAAAATTATTTCTCATAATAAAATTGTGTTGATCATTACACTTTTCAATAAGTTATAGCATTATAAAGTTGAAAATGTAAAAAATAAAATCGAGAAATTTCACACAAAAATAGCATATGGTAGCCATTTTCTTCGTGAAGACAAAATAAAGTCCGAAATTCTTTATTTCTATAATAAAGTTAATTACATTAACTTTATTTTAAGATATATATAAAAAGGTCAGACTTTCTAGAACACTTTCAAAAGTGAAGTTAAATAAGTTAATTTTTTGTGAACAAATTGTCATTATAAATCCCTTCCTGTGGACAGATAAAGGGTTAAATTAAAATAAAATTAATTGGCTTAAATTAAAATCTAACATGGCTTTAAACTTAATATTTTTTTAGAATTAAAATCTAAAGTATTTATGAGTAAATAAAATTATCTGCACTATTTAAAAAGAAAATAGTAAACGGGATTTAAAATTTGAATTGTTTACATTTTTGGTTTCCTTGCAATAGGAAGGCTGTCCTTTATTTTGTTATATTATGCAAAATGAGCATTTAATAAATGAAAAATTTGTAATCTCATTTAATAATAATAGAAAATATTTGGGAATTATTAATTATTATCACTTTAAATATGACATGTAGTCTATTTTAAAATATATAATAAGCTTAGGGTCAATCTATGCCAAATCAACCAGAATTGGTTGCACGACCACCCCATATTGTTCTTAAATTTTCTGGGTTTATTATTTATGCTATATTTATAATACAATTTTAATGGTGTCAATTCATGTTGTTAAAATTGTTTAAGTACAATTATTGTTCACATAATGTAACAATACAAATTACTAGACACTAGATAGTTAATAATAATATTAAATTTCATCAACAGGCCATAGCTTTAACGTTTTACTTAATACCATAACATTATAAACATTAAGGACCAATGAGGATAAACAGTTTACATTAAATGCTATAAATATAGTCATAATATTACGAAGTTGTTTTAGTTTTGATGCGAAGCTGAGAAGGTATTGGTTTTACTATGATGTGTTTTTTTTTGTGTCTGTTACCATTTTTTCTCAGCTCTCATGGAACTGATTTCTTTCAACGATACGTTAAAAGATCACAAATCGTAACTAGTCGAAGATACTACCCTCAAAAATTGAAAAAATTTACCTCGTATCCCGTAAATGGATAAATCAATATAATTTTTTTTTTATAGATGCTTGATGTCTTTACCTATAATTTGGTATATTTTTTTTATAAATTTAACCCTTTACCTGTCCACAGGAAGGGATTTATAATGACAATTTGTTCACAAAAAATTAACTTATTTAACTTCACTTTTGAAAGTGTTCTAGAAAGTCTGACCCTTTTATATATATCTTAAAATAAAGCTAATGTAATTAACTTTATTATAGAAATAAAGAATTTCGGACTTTATTTTGTCTTCACGAAGAAAATGGCTACCAAATGCTATTTTTGTGTGAAATTTCTCGATTTTATTTTTTACATTTTCAACTTTATAATGCTATAACTTATTGAAAAGTGTAATGATCAACACAATTTTTTATGAGAAATAATTTTATATCCCTTTTTCATTCGACATACTTTATATTAATCAGGCTATTAATAAGGAACTAGCTAATCATGTAGCTTTTGGAATACATATAAATGAAACACTATCTAAAAATTTGCATCGAAGCGTTTTTTTTTNCATATAAATGAAACACTATCTAAAAATTTGCATCGAAGCGTTTTTTTTTTCATTTAAAAAAATTATTGGATTATTAATAAATCGAATGACATTTTATAAAAATATAATAAATAATTATTAAATTTATTGAATAAAATGTGTTATATTTTAGAAACAATTTCTATGAAATCAAGAATAGAAAATNTAATCACTATAGATTGTTTTCAGCCAATATTTAAATTATATTTTTTTGAACTATACATAATGCTATACAAAAAAATTTCTAGAATTCAAATTTCTAGAAATTTGAATTTCTAAAATTTCTAGAAATTTCTAGAAAGAAATCAAGAATAGAAATTTTTTTGTATAGCATTATGTATAGTTCAAAAAAATATAATTTAAATATTGGCTGAAAACAATCTATAGTGATTATTAAATAACATATTTTACTTTGAATTAATGAAAAAATTTGTTTTAGCAACGTTATTTGTCGTTGGCCAATTAAGTCTTGTTTACTTTTTATTTAAGCCAATTAACATAACAAAATATTTTTTACAATTGGCCAACAATTATTAAAATGTTTGATAAAATGTAATTAATTTAAGTTACAAACCGTAACAGTATGTTAATTAAATAAAGCTACCGTCAAATCCTTAAAAATGAATTATATCTTAAAAACTATTTCTATAAATNCGTCAAATCCTTAAAAATGAATTATATCTTAAAAACTATTTCTATAAATCAAAGAGTAAGCATATTTTTTTATAACATTCATTCGATAATAACTTATTTCGGTCACTAAATTATAGTTGATTTTTATTCGGATGTATACGTGTATAATTCAAAAAAATATAATTTAAATATTGGCTAAAAACAATTTATGGCGATCGTGAATAAAATATTTACTTTTGAAATAATTTGTTTAAACAACGTTATTTGTCACTGGCCAAAAAAATCGGGAAAAAATTAGTATAAAAGATCTAGTAAACTAAAAATTCATTGGGACTTTTAGTCTAACCTGCGAACAAAGAACATATAAGCTCTTGTGGAAGCCATCTAGTCTATAAGTCTCAGTCGCGTCGAAATCAAATTTCAAAAATCTTGAAAACAACGCGACATTCGCAAGTCGAACATATTGACTATTTCCAAAAATAGCCGTCGAATTCACTTGCAATAATTATGGCACTGTTAGAGAGAGGAGATCGGATCGTCATAAGATATTATGACTACTTGCAAAATTTAACCGTTATCAAAGTAAATGACAAGAATCGTGAACAGCCCGAAGAGTATCGCGTTAAACTTCAAGGAATAAGTGGAGAATTTTTTGACACGTCCTCGATGAATATCCTTACCAATGTCATCAAAAAGAAAGAAATATTTAACATCGTAAGTGAAAAAAAAATATGTGTACATAGCATAGATATTTATACTTATATTTTTAAAGGCACTCATTGACAAAAATGAACTCGTATTAACATATTCAACATCTAAACAATGTCTCAACACTCAGATTTGGAATGCTGAGAATTTGAAACCCAAAAACGTCGGCAATAAATATGAGAAGACTTATGCAAAGAAGAACGCATATAAACCTGGACTTAAGCCGAACAATTACGCAACATATAATGCCAAACGTTATACGGCCCAAGATAGACTTATGAAATACCGTAAAACTGAGGAGCTACAAATCGTTCATCAAACTAATAAATTCAAACAGCCCGAAAATAGACAACTGTACAACACCGATAATACACGTTATTCAGCTCAAGACCGACTTAAAAAATACAAGAACATCGTTACTTCAAAAGAACCGCAGCTTAAACAATATGACATTAAGACCACAGATATGAACCGATTTGAAATTGAAGAAAAATGTTGCAAAGAACAAAATCTCAGCACCGACATAACAGAAGACCCATGTACTAAGAAACGTACATTAAAACTAGGCGAGACGCAAAAAGTTAGTTATTTATATTTATCATACAAACAATCTATTATTACAATAATCTTTCCACAGATAATGATAGTTCAAAAACGAACGAAGACATGTTATCTGGTACACACGATGGAGAGTAGAAAGTCGGTAATCACCTTGTGTGATAAACTACGAAAAATTGAAAATAACTTAAAACGTATCGAGAAAGTTGAGAAGTACGACATGTGCTTGATATTTTTTGGCGCTGAATGGTACCGTGGGAAAATTATGGACGAGACGAACGATGGTATGTTGAAAATTTACTTGATTGACACAGCACAAGTGATGTTCTTTAATCGAAAAGAAGTCTACGAGATGCCAAAGCATTTCGAAGGAGAGTCATTATTAATTGAAATCGTCGTAACACCTCCGCCAAATGAAATGCTGACTACTGTTTTTGCTAACGTAGAAGCAATAAAAACTATTGGACCGAGTACGGTGGTGAAACTGATTTAATAACTTGCTATATTGCCTTATAACTCCTATTAATTTGCATTCGACAGTCAACGAATATTCCCTACAGAAGTTTACATGCTGACAATGATGTCTTTTTCCATTAAAAATACTCTTGTTTATTTATTATGAACTATTTTGCATTTTCATCCGACTTCTTTATTTATTGTTTATATATTTGTTATATTTATATGTTTGTTGTTACATTATTTAATTTTTCGTTTTTTTGCTATATTGTTAAATTTTTTTGTTCAATTTTCTGTTTAATTTAAATAAAGCTGTTCGACACTTATAAAACATTGTTATCATTTAATTTTAACTTACTTATTTTGTACATCAATTAGTTAATACAATTTCAATTGTAAATTTTCCAAAAATTGCAGATCACTAGTTAATAATAGAGTATATGAAAATAATTTTACTCATATAGTTAATATAACTATGATTATATGTCTACAATGACTACTATTAATACTATGATGAGTTATAAATACAAATACATTTTATTAACAAATCGCCAATATCTCAATACATGAAAACTTAGATGTTACCGTCTTGATGGTCTACTAACTTGCAAGCCGACTTAACCTGTTAATCACATGGCGTATAAAACCTAATTAGAACAAATCTGCACACATAACTTTTATTTATAATATTTTCTATCTACTGGACTTAATACATTATTAACATAAATTGTGTAGTCATGCAATAAAACAAAGTGACACTAACCACATTGTCATATTTTGAATCCGAAAAAAATCATTAGTCAATTAATGATAAGTATAACAAATATTTATACAAATATATCGAATATTAAAATAGGATATTATTATTTAACTAACAATTTAAGCATATATATAAAAAAAATAAGTACAGTAGAACTTCGATTAGCCGTCCCCATTGAGACCATGACTGTGACTGTTAACCGAATAGAAGGTTAACAGAAATTTTGTAACAAACATATAAAAGACATTAAATAAAACAAATTTATATTTTTTATACTAAAATATTCCAACAGTTTCAATATAAGACCAGTGTTTTATTTGTCTACTCTTGTACTTCAAATCAGACTATGTACTTTGATAACATGGCCTCTACTCTGGAGTGGTTTGTAGTCTGGTTTAATTTGTCACTAATTTTCGACGGCAATAACGTTGTAATGTATGTATTACTCGGTACTCTCTTCGCATCCTTAACCCTCAGGTTGGCGAGTAAAAAGCAAAAACTGAACCGTTCGCGAAATAATACAATTCCCGCACTCGATTCGCCTTCACTTTGTAAGCGCAGAACTAATATACCGAATATTAGTTTTTAAATAATCCCACTACTGAAATGTTAAAGAACAACTATACTATGAAACAGACACAATAATACACTACTGAAGAAGAAACACAATCTTTATAAAGGAATATTGCAAAAATACAAATTTATACGTTTAACACAAAAACATTTCACTAAGACCGCCACACACACACTGTTTTATTTTTTTCCCCGTTACCCTGAAGACACTCAATCTCTGTCTCCCCTCTACGTATCATTGATGACAGTTGTAAATAAGCTGATAATCATTCAACATTTCAGAGCCTTCATCGTGTATTTCATATCCTAACCAACCTGTTAATTATCCTGTTGTTGATACATCATTGATTATTCCATTGCATAGATGTACAATTTTGTTAAAACTTACAGTCTCGATTTCTTCAGATGTCAACGTTATTGATTCAGCCAATAGTTTATTTCGTCCATCTTCAACTTTTAGACCAATACTTTAGATGTTATTATCATTTTAAAATATAGTATTAATAGTGAAGCACTGATGCTGTTATTTTTATGATTAGTCATTATTCAGCCATCCATCCGGAGAATTCTGATTTCGCCAATATTTATATAATATGTATATAATATAGTATATGTTTCTTTAGGGTAACTTAAAACCTAAAGTGTTAAAAATGTTTTTTTTTTTTGTTACAAGTTCAATATTTTTTGAAAGGGCTACTGAGCTCACAATGCACTAACTGATGAATGAAGACAATCAACTAATATCATCTATTATAAATAACAAAAATTATAATCTAACATCAATTATATACTTATAATTACTCATTATACAAATACTACTTGTTTCACAAAAGTGAAAATATACATCTCTTTAAATTGCTGACAAATACATAGGCTATAGATATAATTAACAATCAAATAAATACATTTAACGCATATGACCCATGGGTTACTTGGAGATGATGTTTCCTGTAGAATGATAACGATAATGGCCTTCAAGTTAGACATTATAAGATCAGATCCATTGATGGTGATCGGGATGTGTGTTGGCTTACGGGGACTTAGCCCTTTTGAAATAATTATTCATAATTGAATCACCCCCCAGTAAATTGTAAAAACTAATGGTTTTAAGCATACAAAATATATTGCTCTATTAGTGTTATATTAATTCTGTATCAACTTCATATAATGTTTCCCGAAATGCATATTAATCGTCTATTTGGGTAGAATAATTTTCCAAATACCAAAAACCTCTTTTAAATCCTTACTTAATTAAAAAAAATATATTAATAAACCGAAATCATTCAATTTATATAGTTTTCAAAATTCAAGGATTTTGTGGTATGTAAATATATGGTAAATTTGAGAATTCTTAATTAAATATAATTTTTCAATAAAGAGTATTCAGTGTTTTTGTAATTTATAATATATTTTATAATATATGATTATTTATATATATAAAAAAAAATGACAATGCAAAATATGAATATTTAAAGTCGTTGAACAAAAATTCTTTGAATTTTGAAATAATATATTATTAAGGTGTATATAATCTGTTTCTTATCAATGAACTATAATAGTTTGAGTTTCTAACTACATTCTTCATTATGAGTTACACTAAATAATTTTAGGGTGTTATATTTAATCTTGAGAAATGCTTGAATACAAACAATTAATTACATTAAATTCCACAAATTTTATTAAATTTAATATAAAGTTAATAAATGGAATTAGTAAATTATTCTTATAATTGTAATTCCATTTTATGAAAAATTATAGTTAAGTCGATATTTCAAGTAAATAACTAGAAAACAATTTTCAGAGTGTAATTGCAATGGGTTTTCGCATAGATGCTTCTTTGATAAAGAGCTGTATGAAAAGACTGGACATGGTGGTCATTGCCTAGACTGTGCTGGAAATCGGGACGGACCAAACTGCGAAAATTGTAAGGTAAACTATTATCAAAGAAAGAATGAAGCTCATTGTACAGCATGTGAATGTAATGAAATCGGTAAATTAATTTAATTTATTATAATTATTGTTATAATGCTATATATTTTTAATATTATGTTTTATGTAAGGTTCTTGGAATCTGCAATGCAATTCTGAAGGTAAATGTCAATGTCGTCCTGGAGTTACTGGTGATAAGTGTGATCGATGTGAAGATAATCATTTTGATTTTGGAATTACTGGCTGCAAAGCTTGTGGCTGTAATATAGCTGGAAGCTTAGATAATCAACCAAGGTGTAATGCTGACTCTGGACATTGCATTTGTAAAGAAAACGTCGAAGGCATTCAATGTAATAGGTATATATATATTTTATGTGTCGATATTTATTTTTTGCAGATTTCTTGTGTAATTTTTCACTCTTCAATAAAATATAGAATACTATATTTTAGAATATATTAACTTAGGTCATTTAAAAATATCAATTGTTAATTATTTTTTTCTATTTCACACCTAGATGCAAACCAAGTTATTTTAATTTAGATGAAGACAATGAATTTGGATGTACACCATGTTTTTGCTACGGCCATTCATCAGTTTGCCAATCTGCTCCGGGATATTCTAGAGGTAATTGTTTTATTATATAATTTGGATTCATACATTTTATTTAATCAAAATATATATGTTTAGTGTCAGTTGAAAGCGTATTTGCTCGAAGTAATGAACGCTGGAATGGTTCAGATGTATATGGAAGATCTATATTGCCTATACATAGTCCGTATAAGCAGTCACTAGAAATTTCATCTCCCTCTAGGGAACCCGTCTATTTCTTAGCTCCAGGTGAGGATTGCAAAAATATTAAGTAAAACCATTATTGAATAGTATAATTCTATTAAATATATCAATATAGAAAAATTTCTTGGAGATCAACGATCAAGTTACAACCACGATTTGACCTTTAAGCTAAGTATAGGAGAAAATAGTCCTGAACCTACAGTGAGTGATATCATGATAGAGTCTGGTTCTGGTCTACGAATTACTCAAACCATTTTTGGTCAAGGAAATCCATTGCCTTCAGATACGGTATTACTAAAAAAATAATTTTTAGTAATTTTTGAAATTATCATTTTTATATTTTATTTAAAGCCAAAGGTATTCAAGTTTCGTCTCCATGAAAGTCCGGATTATGGATGGCAACCAAGATTATCAACTCGTGAATTTTTTAACGTATTATCAAATCTAACAGCAATAAAAATTCGTGGAACATATACTGAAAGAGGTGCGTGTTTCTAATATATTTTTTATGAGACAATGATATAATGATATGTAACTTATAATTAAAATAAGGCGTTGGATTTCTGGATGATTTTTCATTGCAAACTGCTCGTCGAGGTGCTCCAGGATTACCAGCCCACTGGATAGAAATGTGTACTTGTCCCGAAGGCTACATAGGGCAATTCTGTGAATCTTGTGCGCCCGGTTCACGTCATGAACCTACAAGCGGTGGACCCTTTTCTCCATGTGTTCCATGTAATTGTCATGGTCATGCTTCGATTTGTGATGCTGATACAGGTATTTTTTTTGTGTTGTTATCATTCAAATACCATAAAATTGTTTAACTTCAAATACACATTGAAAAATAAATTTATAATATTTTTAGGTCGATGTATTTGTCAACATAATACTGCAGGAGAAAATTGTGATCGATGTGCAAAAGGATATTATGGAAACGCCCTTCAAGGGACAGCTTTTGATTGTAAACTATGTCCATGTCCCAATCAAGGAAGCTGTGCTTTAATCGGGGAAGATACAGTAATTTGTTTAGAATGTCCAAAAGGATACGGCGGTTAGTACAATACAAAATTGTATGAACTTATTAACTATATTTAAATCTGTTATCAGGTCCTAGATGCGACATTTGCAGTGATGGATATTTTGGTGATCCGACTGGAAAAAATGGTCCAGTTAGTATTTGTAAGCCATGTGACTGTAACTCAAATGTAGATCCAAATGCGATTGGAAATTGTAATAGAACAACCGGAGAATGTTTAAAATGTATTTTTAATACTGGAGGAGCTCAATGTGATCAATGTTTACCAGGTTAATTAGAGTTACATGTTTTTTTAAATAAATTACGTTAGTAATATTTTAATCTTTAATTTTAATCTAAGGCTATTATGGTGACGCTCTTGACCCAATTAAAGGGGATTGTAAACCATGTGATTGTTTTCCTCTTGGTACCATTGAAACAGGATTTGGACCTTATGCATGTGATCAATTAACTGGACAATGTCAGTGTAAACCTCATGTTGTAGGAGTTAATTGTGATCAATGTGAAGTTGGATATTTTAATATAATTAGCGGAGAGGTAATAAAAATCATCTAAACTAGAGTATGTGTATGATTATGGTGATTTACATTTTTAAATATTGGAGTGACCCTAAATCGGACTTAAAACTTTCATAAAAAAATCAAATATAACATAATTTTATTTTTACATGAAATAGTGTTTTAAGTTAGATATTCATACCAAACTGAACATCATTTAGGGTATTCAGATTGACTTGATAGTTTGTTACTTAGCTAATGTGTATATATAATAATACATGGGTACTCAATACATTTTCTGTTTTATGCAGGGTTGTAAATCATGTGAATGTGATCCAATTGGATCATTAAATAATACTTGTGATACTTCCACTGGTCAATGTGTTTGTAGCGCAGGAATCACAGGCAAAAAATGTGACGGATGTGAGCCATTCCATTATGGATTCTCCACTGAAGGATGTAAACCATGCGCTTGTGATTCTATAGGTTCTGTTTCACTTCAATGTGATTCCAATGGACAGTGTCCAGTATGTTTTCAAGCTAAATTTATTTATTTTAAGTTAAATAAATTAAAACTTTTATCATATGATTTAAATATTCAATTGATTTAACCAAAAATTTGAATTCAAAAATAAATATTTAGTATAAACTAATATGTATATTTTAAATAGTGTTTAGAAAATGTCGAAGGTCGACGATGCGATCAATGTAAAGAAAATAAACATGACCGACAAAGAGGATGTCTAGACTGTCCTGCTTGTTATAATTTAGTTCAAGACGCTGTAGCTCTTCATCGTGAAAACTTGAAAAAATTAGAAAAAGTATTGAAAGATATTAATAATAGTCCAACTGTTATAAATGATGCAGAGTTTGAACAAAAACTTCATGAAGTGCAAGCATTAGTAAATGACTTAGAAAAGAATGCAAAGTTTTCAGCTGGAGGTTAGCTATAAATATTTATTTCATAATATTATCGTTGTCTATTGATAAGTCTACAACAGTTTAAATGTTCACTTTTTTGTCTAATGGTATTTAATTTACTTTTTTAGCTTTGATGCGAGGCTGAGAACATATTAATTTTATAATAATTTATTAATTTATTATTATTATTTTTTTTAGCTTCGATGCGAAGCTGAGAAGGTATTAATTTTATTATAATGTGTTTTTTTTTTGTGTCTGTTACCACTTATTCTCAGCTCACATCGAACCGATTTCTTTTGACGTATAATAATCCAATTGAAAAAATTTCCGTCGTTACCCGTAAATGGTGAAAATGTCCAAAAAATTATAACTTTAAAAATCGTTTATTTTCGAATTTTTTTTTACTTAAATCTGCCATACCTTTTTCAAAAATGAACAAATCAATATAATTTTTATTTTTATAGATTCATAATGTCTTTACCTATCATTTAATATATTTTTTTTATAAATTTAATTCTTTACCTGCCCGCAGGGGGGATTTAAAATGACAACTTTTTTACAAAAAATTTACTTTTACATTTAACTTTTGAAAGTGTTCCTGAAAATCTAATACTTCTATTTATATCTTAAATTAAAGCTAATATAATGTACTTTATTACGGAAAAAAACAGTTTTGGACTTCATTTTGTCTTCATGATATAAATGGCTACCGAATGCTATTTTTGTGTGAAAATTCTCGATTTTATATATTAAATTTTTTACTTTAAAAGCTATAACTTTTTGAAAAATGTATTGATCAATACAATTTTTTTATGAGAAGTAGTATTTATATACAACTTTCATTTGACATAAATTACTTTTAAATTGAACAATTTTACTGTATACAGGGGGGTTCAAATCTGAAAAATGCATATAGAAAGTAGAACTTTTTTAAATTAACTTTTGAAATTGTTTTGGAAAGTCTGAAATTTTTATATATATCTTAAATTAAAGCTAATGTAATATACTTTATTATGAAAAAAAAAAAAATTTCGGACTTTATTTTATCTTCACGGTGAAAACAGACATCAAAGTTAATAAAAAAAATACGATATTTGTAAATAAATTCGTTTTTATATTTATAACTTTATAATGCCATAACTTTTTGAAAAATATATGGATCATTATAATTTTTTAAGATAAGTACTAATTTATATTTTTCTTTTATGCGACATACTTTTTTTTAAATCGGATCATTTTCTTTTGTATATATATTTATACTTTCATATATTACACTTGTAAATCATAAAACTTGTAATCAGAATATAAAGAAGGAAATAGAAGATCACGTCCTTGGAATAATCCATACATTTTTTTAAATTAAACACTATCTATATATTTGCATCAAAGCGTTTTTTATGATAGTGATTTTAATCACTGTCAGATATCAACTATACTGGACCCAACTATGCCACGTCTCCACTGTGCGACTATCCGAGTGTGCTGGGGTTTTTTTTTATATTAAAATACCTTACAAGAGTTTGTTATAGTAATGAGGCTACCATAAAAGTTACATGAATCTAACTTACATTGAATACATAGTTATTCATATTTTGAGTATTTTGCCATCCCTAAGTTAAAAGAAATGGCTTGAGTTTTGAATTAGCTTAAATTGTCCTTTTTATCTTTCGACTAATGAGATGTACGGTGTTTGCGTCTACAAAACTTATGAAAAATTAATCAAGAGAAGAGAATATTTTTGACTCTAATGATAATTTCTTGTACACCATTTATTCATAATTTAGAAAAAAATATTTTCTGAAAAATTTTGTATCAAACTCTTCAATTTTTATCTAATAGTCATCAAATATTGGAAAAAATACTTTTTATTATACAAATTTTTCATAAAAGTAACATATACTTTTTAACTTTTTTATAATTTTTCCACAAAAATAACAATACTATATTATTAAAAATTGATTTTAATACTATTTTTAATTGCTATAATAAAAATGTTTATTTATTTATTATACTTTTAATCAAAGAACTACTATCAGGAAAATGTTAGACATATGAGTTCATTTTGCTTGTGAAATAATTTACCAATTTTTTAAAATTAAACACTATCAACAAATATGCATAGAACCGTTTCTTATGATAGTGATTTTAATCACTGTCAGATATCATCTATACTTGTTCCTCTATGCCACATTAACACTGTGCCGTGATCCCTCTGTGCTACCGTTTTTTATTTATGCCATTAAGGTATAAATTGACATAATGTATCTTCAAAAATTATTATGATGTACCTGTTCGCGTAATAATTCATTGAAATATGAAATATTTTTATTGTTTTCTGTATGTGATACTGATTCTCCGATTTTTCTATATTTTTATAATTACCTTCGAACTTTAGTTATTACTATATATTATCAATTTTATTACAACTAAATTATAAATATGGCATTTTTATTTAAAAAAAAAAAAAGGTATACTATGATAGACGATAACATTTTTTTTTTTATTATTATAATTATAATGTTATTGATTTTATTAAAAAAAGGAAATATTTCAACGAGTGACAAGGTACAATCACTTCAAGGCCAAATAAAAGAAATAGAAGAACTTATGATTCAAACTAAAAATTGGACAGCTCTAGCAGAAAATAATGCAATTCAAGCTGACAAAAATCTTACAGAAGTTGAAAAAATTAATGAAGATATTACTAATGTATTGAAAAGAGCATCGGATTATATACAAACTGAAGGAGCGACAGCACTTTCTAAAGCAATAATGAAAAGTGATGAGTTAGGACAACAAAGTGATCAAATGTCTGCAATTGCTAGGGAAGCAAGAAAACTTGTACAATCGTAAGCTATCCATATTTTTTTTAATCTACAAAGTTATTTATTAAGAAACATATCATAAGCTCTTTACATTTTTGAAATCTAAAAATTATACTATCTCAAAACGTAATAATACAATACTGATTATTAACCAGTTCAAATTTTATTTAGACTAGTTTGCATAAAATAATAAAAAAATAATAATAGACTCACTTTTAACTTTCGAATGTTACCCTTAAAATATACACTATGAATAATTTTTTCTTACGATAAACTTGATATTTACAATATTTTTTTAATAAAATTGAAATATAAAATATATAAATTTGTTAGATACTTCATTATTTAACGTTAAATTTAGTATATTTTATTATCGACAATGTATCATTTACTTGTATGATGTACGAGTGTTAAGTGTAATGTATATCGTAACACATAGCTGTCAATGATTAATATATTATGTTATATTTGTTTTTCATCATATATATAATATTACTTATGTAATATTTAGAATATTATTGAATGTAAATAAATAAACGAATCTAACAAGAATACAAATGTTAGATAAGTGAATAATGTAGATAAATATTTAAAATTTTAGTAAAGAAGAAGAAGTTGAAAAAATGAAAACTATTGCGGAAAAAGCTATAAATGTTTCAACGGAAGCATTTGAAATTACTAAAGATGCTGTCAATCAACAAAAAAACATTAGGTACTATTTTTTTGTTCAATTGTTATTATATATAATAAGCAAAAAAATGTATATATTATTATTTATTCAGCGATGAGTTAAAAACCCTTGATGCGGAATTAAATTACGTAAAGGATAGATTAGATGCAATTGTAGAGCAAGCAAATGAAACTCATGAATTAGTATCAATGATAAATAACGATTCATTGGCAATATATCGTGATATTTATGCCATTAATTTGCCAGATATAAATGCTTCACTAATGAAACAAAACGCTTCAAATTTAAATTTGGAGGTATAATCCAAATAAATATTTAAGTTATTTTACTAAAAACCAATTTTAAAAATCACGTACTCGTGTCTCTTTTTTAGATTCAACATATTGACCTAGAAATTACTAAATTAAAAGAAAGTAATTCTAATCTTTTAATGGAAGTCGCCGCTGAATTGTTAGAGTCAGAAGAAAATTTGAAAAAAGGAGAATTACAGTTAAAGCAGAGAGAAAATCTATTAAAACAAGCAAATGCCTCTTACGAAAAAGCTACCCAAGCCCTAAAATTAGGAACAAAAACGCTCGAGGAAGCTCAACAGACTTTAAGCACTCTTCAAGGTAATAATATATCTATAAATTGTGAACATCTAATAAATTAATAATTTTTTATAGCTTTTGATAAACAAATACAAGAAAGTAAACAGAGTTCAACTGAAGCATTAGGTCAAGTTCCAGACATTAAAAAACTAATTGAAGAGGCTAATGATAAAACTCTTCGTGCACAGGCAGCATTAGATGGAGCAGAAGCTAATGCTATTATCGCCAGGAATACATCATTAATAGCACAAACAACTTACGCTGAACAAGCATCCCAAGTAAAAAACTATTTTGAATAAGAATTAAAACTTATAATATAAAATATCAGAGAAGAAATTTTTACACTTGAATTTTTATTTTTGTTTAGGAAGCTGAAAAAATAAAAAAAATTGCATTAGAGACTGCTATAGAGGTTCACAGTTTATTAGATGAGAGTGATGGTTTATCAAAACGAGTAGGCCATACAGGAGAGCGACTTAAAGAAGTAGAAGAACAATTTGAAAAAGACCAACAAAATATTAATGATGTAAGTAATTAAATATTTTAAAATTTTATTGTTAACTGTCAAAATATTATTTTGCAATGTTTTTTTATTTAAAATTTCAAATATCGAAATTAGGCAAAGAAAAAAATTGGTCAAGCAAAAACATCAGCGTATGAAGCTAAAAAAACGGTTGATAAAGCTTTAGAAGATGTCAGCGCAGTTCTTAAAGAGTTGTCTAATCTTGAAGATATTGGTAAGTATTTGTTTATAAATATGATTTTTACTATTCAAAAATTAGTAGATTCCTACATTTACGACATAACAAATGTGTTCACTATAAGAAATAATTCAATAAATCTAAAATTTCAATGTGATAATTTTAATATACATGTTACTTTTATACACAAGTAGTTTAATTTTAATATAAAGTATCGAAAAATTGTTCACAAATACAATATTTTTATCACTATTAATTAAATGTTGCATTGCATTGGATGCGTAAAAAAAATCCAGTAAATATATGATAAAATTCGAAAAAATTTTAATTTTACAAATTGATCTAGGCGGTTAATAATCTAAGACAATGACTAGAATGCAGTGAGTTTAGCGCTGAATACACATCATCATAAGAAATATTAATATTGGATAGAAGAAAGAATACTGACTAGGAATATGTTAATTTAAAAGTCTCTAGTGTCTTATGATAATGCTCGTGTTCAACTGCTGTATTCTAAAAAGCAAATTATGAATAGAAAATTGGTCTATAAATTTCATTCGATATAAACTATTATAAAACGAATTTTTTATTATCATATCATTAAACTAAAAGAATTTCCATCAAATAAAACTAAAATTTCGGTTTATAATCCTGAATGGATGAAAAATAATAACTAAACTACTCATTATTGTAGAGTTTTTTAAGCTAAATCGATTTTTCTTTTATGAAAATTAAAAATTTTCAAAAACTTCCAATAAAATAAGCGTCTTATTGTTAATGAATCAAACTTGATTTTTACAATGGTTAATAAAAAAAAGTTAAACTTATATCTATTCATTATTACGAAAAAATTATTATTTAAAGAAAAATGGGGGTTTGTATAATTAATAATTTATTTAGTATACAAAATAATATATGTATAAACACATATTATGTGTATATGTATATATTTAAGTCTCTATTGTTGGACATCTGCTTAGTTTTGATGATATTTCAAATAATTGAAGCCTAGTTAAAGAAAAGACAAGTTGAGTACAACTTATTTACCTACTTAATAACACATTTAAAAACTATTAAATAACCTTTAGCAAACATTTTTTCTTTTCAAATTATATCGGTAAAAATGTTCTAAAGGTACTAACTTTATGTAAACCTTAATGATATTAGCGTTAGTATATAGACTATTTGAAATCTACTAAGGTATAGCTTGATATTAAAATTATTTTTATCTATTTAATAATATTTATAGACAGTGAGATGTTAAATCAGCTTAGTTCTCGATTAGAAACAGCAGAACAAGAATTGGCTAATGCTAAGTTAGACGAAAAACTTCAGAATATCAATGCTGCGAGAATATCTCAGGTAAGTGCAGATATTTTCGTGTCAAGTATTTTGTATTTAAAAAACGTGCTTTGTCATAATTTAAACTCCTTTAAAGGCTCAGTTAATTAAAAACTATGAAAATGAAATTGAATCACTGACTAATGACGTCAAAAATATTGACTCTATCAGAAAAGCACTTCCAGAAGGATGTTGGAAAAGAACACATTTGGAAGTCCGTTGAAATAGTATTTCTGAAATTAAATTACTACCCTATTAATATTTTTATAAACTAAATCCCTATTAGTCACTTATTTGTGTTCATAATACTGTATCACCTAGATATTTATAAGCTTTTATTTTTTAATGTAAATTATTTAGTTTAGGTCTAAATAATTATTGTATTTACAATAAATTATTGTCATCAATAATTACTTAAATCTGTAAATGTATAGTCAATTTTTTCCGATTATTCTAATACTTATTATTATTGTGTATACATAATTAAATTATTTAATTTAATTGTGGACTTATTTAAAAGAATTTTCTACGTTCTTTGACTAAATTAAAATTAGATTTTAGGGACTAATTTAATAAAAATATATTTTTTAATTTAATTCCATATGCCAAAGATCTAATTTATGATTCTATAATTTAATTATACATTTATTTTCATTTAATTGTAAAACTATTAATAAATCAAATTACATTTTGTTGCTTGAAGTCTAATATTTTTTAGTTTCTTACTAAAACCTTGATATTAATTTTATTACATTCTATATTTAATTAACTGTGAAATTTTTTCGACAAAAAATTCCTTTTTTTATTTAATATTCCAGTTAGTTTTTTTTTTTTAAATAAAAATAACAGTTATTTAGTAATGAGTATAAGGAACATTAAAAAAAAATAGATTTTTAAGTTTTTCAAAACATGAACAAGATTTTTTTCAAAACTTAATTATATTAGTTAATTGATAAAATTAGTTTAGCATAAAGTAATAAAGTTAACTTCTCATTCAACTTCATCATCATCATTTTCGTAAGTAACATATGCCGCTGAACTATTAGTTTTTTCTGAATTTTTTACTTTACATTTTTGTTTTTCAGACTTCTTTATTGGAAACAAATTTTTGACTTTACTCACATCCGATAAACTTAGGCATAAAAATATTGGGCTAAATAAAAAAATAAAATGACAATTTAAAATTTTTTAAGAGTGAAATATATTCAAATTTTGTGTAGTGACCATTGTAAACCAAAATTATTCACGGACAAAAAAAAAAATCTTGAGAGTAATAAAGACTTGTCATATTCAGATATAAAAAAGGAAACATAATTTTCTAAACTAGACATAAAAAAACCCAGAATAGTAGATACATGATGTAGTGCACCCAAAGAAAAACCTCAATCAAAATTGAAAGAGAAATTTTATCAAGGGTTTATGATAATGTTTTATTAATACGAACAAAATAATTATTCTTATAAATAATTATTGTTCAAGACAAGAAAAAAAAATATCATATTGATAAATATATCATTGATTCAATAGTAATGATATATTTATCAAATTGAACAATGAATTTATTATATAGATCGAGGTTTTTCTCTGGATGTGGAGACACGGCATAATTGGAACCAATAATTAGAGTGTTCAGTATAAAAGGAAACGCGTTTCTAATGTCTCATTCTTTGTAACAATTTACCAATTTCCTTACTTACTGTTTACAAATGTATAGATATATAGGATATATCAAGTATGTATAGATATCTGACAGTGATTAAAATTACTATCATAAGAAATGTTTTGATGCGAATCTGTAGATATTGTTAAGTTCTAAAAAATTGGTAGATTATTTCAAAAGCAAAATTAACTTCTATTTTTTGTTCTACTTCGACTTTTGAACTTCTAGTATATAAAATAAGCTTTATTTTAACTTATATTTACAATACACCGTATTTCTCGTACATTTTTAAAAGTTAAGTTAAAAAGTTCTACTTTTTATAGAAATTTTCAAATTTTCAAAAATTTAAAAAGGTATTCTTGACTTTGAAGAGACAAAGCAATCAATATAAGTATAAATTTATATTTAATGTAAGTTAAATTCATGTAAATTTTATATTTATAGGTGGACTCATTACTATGGCAAACCCTTATGAGTTTTTTAAATTTAAAAAGAAAAATTAAATTTTAACACAAAAATAGCATTTTTTTAAACTACGGCAGTCGTTTGCACGAAGAAGATAAGTCGTCGGAACAAATTTATATTTTTAATTTATAGTGCGTAACATAAGCTTTAATTTGATATATGTTTAAAGAACGCAGTATTTCCGGAACATTTTCAAAAGTTAAGATGAAAAAATAGAGTTTTGCAAAAAGTTGCTATTTTGAATCCACACTTGTGGGCAGATAAAGGGTCAGATTTCCAAAAACATTATAACAAATACAAGTTGTTTTATGAAATAGTGCATTTTAAAGTCAAATTACTCATAAAAAAATATTATTTTACTATTAGCATTGAGTACTCTTACTAAAAAGCCTTAGTTTTATATAGATTTCGGTTTGTCAGACATTTTCGAAAATTGATAATAAAGTAGTTTTGTTTTTTAAAGAGTCAATATCATATAGCAGATCATTCATCGGACAATATTTATAATATTAATTAATTAATAATAAAATATTTAATTCGATATAGGTTAAGAATTGAGTTTAAAAAAAAAGTATAACAATTTTAAAAAGCAGAATTTATTGAAAATACTATTTTTCACGATAGTCAAATTTTGAGATTTTTTCTAAATCTCTAAAATTGAACGAGGTTTTTCAACTTTCGGTACTGATTGGATCTACTAGTTTAAAACAGGTTCTTTGGGTTCATAAATCAACGAAATCGGTCCAGTGATACGTGTGAAATTTTATAGACAAATACATAATGGTGAAACCAATTGTTAAATTCTCAGTTTTGCTTTGAAGCTAAAATTTGAAAACCAGGAACGTCATTTAAATTAATTTTTTGTGCCCATAGATATCACAGAAATAAGGACAGGTGAATAATAGAATAGGTTGTGATGGTAGAAGGTCATATGAAGTATAAAACTAATGCATATAATGCCATTCAAACCCTTTTGGACTGAAGCTGAAGCATACATCACCTTCTGTACACTATAGCGCATCTATGTTTTAATGTGTATGTATTAGTGGCTCAATACAAGTTGGGTCATGGTGCCTTATGATAAAGCACTGCGTTGGGATACCTTGGGCCACGGATTCCAATCGTATACCGTGTTTTTTCTGTGTTAATTTCTGTTGTCTGGTACATCATTATAACCGTTCGTCAGTCTCCAGTTGATGTGTGAAGACACTAGGCATATTAAAATATGCATACGAATATTGTTTTTTTTAACTGTAAGTTATTCAATAATTGCAAAACAATGTAAGTAACATAAAAAAATGCATCTAGATGTTCTTAAGATTATGGTCAAAAATTTTAATAAAATATAAAAATATATAATTGGAAAAAATTCAAAAATATATTGCACAAATAGTCGTATAAATAGTATTACTAGTCAAATGGGCTTACAGGAATATTCTACATTAATTTTGTTATTACCGGATCAGAAAGGGATAAGGCGACGTGGGCCGCCCGAAGCAATGCCTAACGGCAGTTCCAGGGCGGTCAACATCAAGTCGAAAAGGAGAAAAAAAAATCAGAAAGGGATAAAGATTAGTACTGTTATAAAAAATATATATAATAAACATTTAACCTCTAATAAATTGAATTTAAATATTTTTAAATAAAACAAAAAAAAAGTTACAAAATAATTTATGTTATATAAAATATCCATTTAAAACGACAAATAAATAAAAAAAACTCGGTATACTATACTTGCATCTAAAAACTTTAAATTAATTAATGTTACTTGCTATAGGAAATTTAAATAGCTTTATATCTTCGTATAGTTCGTTTCAAAATTCCTGGCCACATTCTTTTATCGTATTTTCATATTCTTGTAGACTCCATCCATTTACTTTTATATTTATAGCAGAATTATCGCACACCAGTTTTGCAAGTTGTTCATCAACTTCTTCAGCAGTTTTCATTTTAATTACAAGTAAAACTCTTAACTCATGGATGAAAAAAAAATATTTTGCTTTTACATTTCGTAAAGTTTGAAAAATTCGTATAATAAATTTACAGAATGATCTATCCTATTCAATTACTTACAAAAAAATACGATATTGAAAAAAAATTGTATTATTTTGTAGTTAAATCTTTAATTTTCTTTCCTTTTTTTACTTACTTATAGTTTATAGAGTGTCAACTATATTTTTCCAAATGACTAATTGTATATTTTACTAGCTTATAACGATATTAAAATATAGGCTACTTATGTCAAACTTATATTTTCAGATATTTTTCGATTGCACTGAGTGCAGTGCACTCCTCATTATTATTATTATTAGGATTTACCAAATCCTTTATCTAAACACTTTCTCATACTCCATTGATCTAAACAATTCATTAACATGCTTATAGCTGTTTCAATATTTCTTTTTTTTTCCAATTTTACATTTTCATCATAAAAATATAAATCTGGATGGTTATAAATGAAATTTGCGATTATATAATAAAATTATTAGTTTAAATATAATGAAAACTATTTTAATATTAAGTAGTTGTAAACTTTTGATAGGTGGAAGTGATTAAATATAACATAAATGTTTCAATTACTCATAATAAATATGAATGACCCACTTGTGTCTATTAAAAAATATATTTAAACATATTAAATCATCACCTCATTAGTCTCTATCCCAAATATTGGGAGTCTGTTCTACCTTATAATGATTTGATAGGATTTTTACATTGGATGTCAACCAGATGCAACCTCATTATAGCTGAGGGAACCAGTAAAGAGGAAAGGCAGGTGTCATTCTTAAAGTTCTCGTTCGGGCACCTATCTAGGAACCAACAGCACATAGCGCTGTTGAACATTAGCGCTTAGATAATGTTTAATCAATAAAGTCTTATTCAAGCATATTAATTAAAATCAAAAATTCAAAACCGTAAAACGTATTGTTACGTCGCTATTTAGGGGTTGAGTCTAAATGCCCGTCGACAGTATTCTAAGGGACCAACGGGGGATAGCTGGCTAGGCTATATCTACCTTAGGTACTGAAGTTTCCTATTTAATTTATATTCCCTTAGAGGAACTACCAAGGGTCGCACTACAATATATATATATATAACACTTTAGGTTAACAACGATATAAATAAATATTTATTAAGCAATTGAAATATTAAATAGATAATACAACCTGCTGGACACCTAGAGATGTATAATCCAACAGGGAGCTGACGGCGACACACACACACACACTATAATATACGGGGTAGCAAGTTAAGTTAATTATTAGACAAAGTAGTGATCGCGAAGATGGTAAAAGGTCAACTGTCGTAGGGATATCTTATTATGACACATTGGCCGTGAATTGCAAAAAGTGTTTATGTGTGCAGTCCGCCCTCCTGTTAGTATTGTTGTATGTCACTGTGTTAATTATATATATATATGTCTATTAAACGGTACAACGATGTTATGGGAGACAGAGATATGGGCACATGCAAATGTGATCGTATCAGTATCTAAATGTTTTGAGTAAAAAATGACGAATACAAATTTCGAAAATTTAGTTATCAAATTCAGTGTTAATCGACTAATAAATGCACCCCTCACAAAAGACACCCAATTTATATACCCTTTGTGATTTTAAATTTTTATTATTTTACATCCGAAATAAAATATTATACTTTCAAAAATCAAAATATTGATGAACATAGATTTTATTTTGATTTTCTTTAAGAAATTGAATAAACACAGAAATATAGATTATTTTTTTATCTTCAAAAGAAAACTTTATTATATTTTATTACGTTATTCGATAATTATTTATATATTTTAGTACAATAGAAAGTTGTTTTGAGTATTAACAAATTGATTTAATATTGATTGTCATAAAATAAATTTGACATCTTATTTACTAAAAAAAAGTGTACTGTAAAAGCATGTTGTAATAATATTGTATGAGAACTTAAGGAGTCTATCAAAATAAGTAAATATTATTGTTTTCGTAAAAATTTAAATAAAAACATGAATATAAATGATAACATTTTTGTATATGAAATTAACGATAAAAATATAAAAGTGTTTTTAATGATGTAATGATAAATATTGTTCCATACACTACGTAATACCTCATGTCCAAAGAAGAACCAACACTGCGTTAAATATGAGGAATAATATTTCAGTTAAATACATTCTTAAAAAATTTCTCAACTATCAGACATATTGGTTAAATCTCAACATTGATAATAACCTTAATATATCACTTGAATCAAATATTAGGTTAAATTAAAATACTATTAAATTTCATAAAATAAATATCTACTTGATAGAATGTCATTAAATGAATGTACATTATAAATATCGAAATATGATTATAAAATTTATAAATAACTTGCAACAAATTTCTATTGTAGCTGCATTTTCATTAAAGACCAATACGGTTTTGGATAAAAAAAAACCTTAAAGTTTTTAATTCACTACTGGTTTTTATTAATATATTTTTTCTTATTAATATTTAAATTATTTAGGAATAGCTTCAATATTTTTAGGTAAATATAACTTAACTCAAGTAGAATAATATTAAATTCTTTTTATTAAAAAAAAAAAATTAATTTTGTTCCATAATTGTTTTCTTCTGAATTTTAAAATTATGTATAAATTTATTTTATCATTTTTCAATTTTTTTCTTCGTGTCTTTATACATAATTATATTTAAGTGTTTTATGATAGTAATGTTAATCACTGTCAATGTTTAAGACTACTATGTCTAATTACTACTGTACTGATTTTTTTTAAATTGAAATCATTTAAGTATAGTAAAGTTATATGGTTATAATGGTGTATTTTCAGAAAAACAAAATTGTTAAACTCTCACTATTAACCATACCAGACAAACATTTCTAAAATCGCAATTAAATTAAACTTGTAAATTTTTGTATTTATAAATTTAGAGACTATAAATTTGAAATTATTATTTATTTTAACTGATTTTTATTGGAAATATTAAGAGTACATCAATAAAAAAATTAATGAAATGTATTACTTAGCATAAAATAAATAAGAATATTAAAATAATATATATATATATATATATATATATTCCAATCTATATGATTTAAACAACTATAACACTATTCATTTAATTATTTATTATAATATAAATTAATTTTGAATGTACTTCTATGTTAGTGCGTATGTTTGAGACTATGTCAACATTAACTGTTATTTGTTTTTTTTCCAAAAAGTTTGGCTCCCTGAAAGAAAATTTTTAAAAACTAATTGTATGATAAGTAAAATGATATCAATTATAAAGATTAACGTTTTAAAAAATTTTGAATAATAGTTTTAAAAATTAAATACCTTTCATAAATACATACTTTTTTGAAAATAAAACTATTCTAAATGAAAACTATTAAATAGATGAAAAAAAATAATTACTGTCTATGCTAAACTGTTTTTGAATACTGTTTATTTTGTTTTGCTCACTCTGAAATATCTTTTTGCATAACTAAGATATTTTTTTGATATTCAATTACAACTTTTATAAAAAAATTACATTGATCTAATTTAGAATCATAATAATTGTATTCGTTATATGTTTTCCTCAAAGCGATTATTATGATAGTAATTTTGATTACTATCAGAAATTATCTATACTTGACCCAACTATATCTTTTGCTACCACTCCACGGTGCTGGTATTTTAAGAATTTAAATGAATGCCGATCAAATGTCAATAAACAAGTCTTGCGAAAAATATTATTGTGTGAGCAATATAAAATAAATATTATTGAAAATTACAAAATCGTAGTTTAGTGTACATGAATAATTATTTATTTCTATTTCTTAATAATTTTTAATAAGGATAGTGTTTTTTATGAAAGATAACCACCAAGTAAACTGTAAGAACATTTATTACTATGTTCTTACCACTTATATTACACACGTTTTATTTCTATTTATTTAATTCGTAATACATATTAATTAGCATAGAGGGAGATGCTGATATGACAATTATACTCGTCTGTAGTCCGGAGCTACTGACGTCGAACTAACAAATGGCAGTTGTGTTTGAGTGGCCGTTATAGACATAATTTTCAATATTATTACTTTCGTCTTATTTATATTATTTATAACATTACTTGTTTTATTCAACGACCCGTCTATCGCCAATTGTCATCATAGCCAACCAACTCCGTCTCACTTGGATATACCTACTAACCAACTGTACTAGGATTCAGGTCAGACGTATTGTACATTACATATAACTTATATTTACTGAACATCTAAATATAACTTTACTTTGTCGTTGACATAAAACAATAGTCTAATTTTATTTAATAATCTATCCCCTGTAACTAAGGTACACGATTGCCTGTGTCTCCTTCAGGCAATTAAAACTCATTTAAGGAGATAGGGACGATATTTGGGCAGACGTCGGGTAGCTTCCGATTCTTGGTTTTGACCAAGATCCTCAACTATTAAACAAACCCCTAACAAAACCAACACAAAAGTATGAAAATTATTATTTTGAAAAACTTGAGCGCTTTAAATATCTGCAGTCGACATGAATAACCGCAAATATTACCATGAGGAAATAAACCTAAGGATAAAACCAGAAATAGATGCTGTTTCACGCTAAAAAAATCTTTCAGGTCCATATTATTATCAAAAACGGGACTATACAAGGTTATAGTGAGACCGGTGATTTTATACGCATTTGAAACGTGGCCTATGTTAAAGGGGACGAAAGAAAACTGGTAGTCTTAGAGAGAAAATTACTACGGTGCATTTTTGGTTCTAAAAAAATGATCAAACAGGTGACTATAAAATAAGATCCAATAAGGAAATTAAAGACCTGTAGGGAGAAGTGGATATTATACAGGCTCTCAAAAGAAGAAAAATGAGCTGGCTTAAATACATATGGAGATTGAATGGAATAATATAAGGTTGCGTTTAACTGAAAACCAGAAGGTTTCCCAACTGGGCAGGTCGAAAAAAACGTAGATATATGAACCCAATAAGAATTTCCGGATACTTGAGGTTGATAACCCTGAGGAATAGACAAATGACAGAGAGGAATGGAGAAGGCTCACAGTGGGACCAAACGATGATTTAGCCGGCCAAAAGTACCATTTTTAAATCAACTAATAAAAATTTTTTTTTTAGCAAATTTTTTTTATTATATCCTTATAAGGTCATGTACAAAAATTCAAGGCCAAAAATTGATATAGTAATGGTTGGGTGCTATTTAAATATCATAACACTGTATTTTTTTGTTTTTTTTCTAGGATTTTTATTATTTCTTCAATCATTTTTTCCTGCTTAATTAAAAACCTTTATTTTTTTTTTTTAATTTAAAATGTTTAAAAAGTCATCGGCTTTCAAATTTACTAAGAAAAAATTTTTATTTCTTTTTTTTTTTAATTTTAATAATTTTTTACACACAAAAAAATGCAAATACTTATTTTACATTGTTTTTTAAAGAGTTTAACTCAAAATTACGCAATATTACGATTACACCAATACATGCATGTTGTAGAAGAACTCTTAAGCTACAATTACAAAAAAAAAAATTTTTCGTCAGATTGTATTTGAGCCCTGCACATAGAATTTCCCTATAATAAACGTGTATTTTTGTAAAAATTGTAATTTTAATAATTTCATTGGTTTTATCAGTTCGATCAACTTTATCAGCTTAAAAGTTGTAAAAATTAGATGTAATTAGCCTATAAAAGCTGATGATGATAGTTTTGTTTTGAAAAGCATTAATAGAATATTTTATAATATTTATTTAATATTACAAATTTTTTTTATTAATAACACTTCATCGTATCTCCAGTAGTTAATAAAATATACCATAACAACTGAGAAATATAATTTTCCATTGATATGAATTATTTTATTATGAGCATTTTTCCTGATAAATTATTAACTTTACGATAAAATGTATGTACAACAATTTGTTATAAATTTATAAATATTTAATATTCTACCAAATTACAAGTAAGTATTTTTTTTCTATAATATTTAATAAGATATCCGTAATAAATAACAATTCTATCCTTTTTAATCAAGTTTCAACTCCTCTAAGACAAGTGAACTGGTTAATTATGCTCAAAAAGTCCAAAAATAAATTATCATACATCAATACAAATTCTGGGCAGCTGGTATTAAATTTCTTAAGTTCGTAATAAATTGACCACCCTAATATATATTTTAATTTTTTTATCGACTATTTGAAATCTATATATAAAAATATTTATTAATTTGGTAAACCTTTTTTAATTTAATAAGCATTTTGTTCTAGCCATGCAGATAACATAACATGTACATATAGATAAAATAAATACATTGTATTATATTTTAATTTTGAAATGATGATATTCTGAAATAATAAGCAATTAAGACTGTGAATAATCATGGTGATTTTATAAATATAGAGTTACGAGATTAATTTTAATTATCAACAATGATGTGATTTGAATTACTAACAATTTTCACTCTAAACTTGTTTGATTTAATTATAACTCATCCTGTATTAAAGTTTTAAGTTAATGATTCAGATAAATACATTAATCATTAAATAAAAAATAATGTAAAAAAAAGCAAGTAAATGTAAATAATAATAGTTTGTAAAGTAATAATTTTACAAACCCAACTTCGACTATCGATTTTTTCATGTAACGTTTGACGAAAAATTTGACTACATATCCTGGTTACATTATTGCAATGCTCAACATATTTACTCATTTTATCAGTTGCATCTATTCCCAAATTACATACAAAAGTTGCTATGTCTGTATCAACTACATTTTCGTTTTTCAATCCTAGAACAATATCTACTCTAAGCCCGTTCAAACGGTTAGAAACTACTCTCATCACATAGCCTAATAAAAATTAAAACATAATTAAATTTGCTAATATAACAAATAAACCATAATTATATATAAAAACACATATAAAATCATAAACGAAACTTAAAAAATCACAATTTTAATGAATTAAGTTTGTTTTTAACACCATTCTTACAAGTACGGTTAGCCTGTATGACTTGATATGATAGGCTAACTCATAATTAAATTGATGTTACAGATATACAGGGTGATTTTTTTATCATAACCCACTCAATTACTTGCAGAATAATAATAATTTAAACATTTTTTTTTTTTATTATCTTTAGTTACACATTATTCTTGAATTTTTAACTATGTAATACTTTTTAAGTTCATCCCTTATGCCTTGGAAGGGGGTCAACTTTGTTTTTTTAAATGGTAACACATATTTTTAATTTAATAAAATGTTTGAGTTTTTAATTTAATAGTAAATGGCATTTGAATTTTTAATATAACTTTATTAGTTTATTAGATATAAACATTTAAAGTTTCAAATTTTTGAATTAATATACAGGTATAATACACAAGGGATTACAAATATAGGTAGCTAATTGGTTTTTTATAACATCGATATTAGCAGGTACACAGCATTGTTATTATCAATTGTAGTAAGGCACATTGTTATGAGTTTATAAATACACTAACTGACAATACAGAAAGTATATCTATTGATAATCATAATTGATAATAAACAATCCGTGACTGAGACAGCAATGTCATAAAAATCCAATTAGCTACCTGTATTTACAATCCCATGTGTATTATACATGTATATTAACTCAAAATTTTGAAACTTTAAATGTTTATATCTAATAAGCTAATAAAGTTATATTAAAAATTCAAATGCCATTTACTATTAAATTAAAAACTCAAACATTTTATTAAATTAAAAATATGTGTTACCATTTTAAAAAACAAAGTTGACACCCTTACCAGGCATAAGGGATGAACTTAAAAATTATTACATAGTTAAAAATTCAAGAATAATGTGTAACTAAAGATAATAATAAAAAAAAATGTTTAAATTATTATTATTCTGCAAGTAATTGAGTGGGTTATGATAAAAAAATCACCTGTATATATTTCAGTTATTTACGAAAAAAATTTAATTTATGCATTTAAATCAGAATGTTGGGCGTATCCCTATATAATTAGACAAAAAAATTGTTTGAATAAAATACAACATATCATATATAAAATGATATGATCCGACTTGATCTCTATGATACAACTGGGATCCAATCCAATAACTACCAGAACAGTCATTGATTTATCAAATTAATAGCAACGGCATTTATAAAAACACACAATAGAAGGTTTAGTCAATATATACAAATCAATGTTTAGCTTTTTATGCTTTTAGCTTTTATGCGAAGCTAAGAAGGTATTAATTTTACCATGATGCGTTTATTTTATTTTTTTGTGTCTGTCACTATTATTTCTCAACCCTCATTGGACCGATTTTTCTCAACAATACGTCAATATATCACAAATCGTATCTAGTTGAAGACATTACCCTCAACAATTAAAAAAATTTACCTCGTTCCCCGTAAATGGTAAAAATCCCCCAAAAATTACGATTTTTAAAATCGTTAAATTTTGAAATTTTATTCACTTTTTTTTTTTAAAAATTGCCATAACTTGTTGAAAAATGAATGAATTAAATTAATTTGTTTAAAAATTGAAATCTTAGATATTTAGATTTCGTTTGATGTAATATTTTTGAAAATCTGACCCTTTACCTGCCCACAAGAATGGATTAAAAATAGTGACTTTTTGCAAAACTCAACTTTTTCAACTTAACTTTTAAAAATGTTCCTGAAATACTGCGTTCTTTAAATATATGTTTAATTATAGCTTACATTATGTACTATAAGTTAAAAAAAAAAAATTGTGCCGACGACTTGCCTTTTATAGGTAATCAAAAAAATATTATTTTGATGTAAAAATTCACCGTTTTTTGTATTGTTATACACACACTCCACACACTTCGTCCCAGACGTTTCATCTCCAGAATTTTGATATATAAATTTATTATTAATCTCTTTTTGAAAAATTATAATTATTTTAGCTTAATCCTTTATTAAGTCCTTAAAATCCAGTATAATAATAAAAAAATTAATTATTTATTTAATGTCAAATTATTTAAATTTAATTTGTACTTTATTCAATTATTATAATGAAATGATATCATAATTATAATATTCATTGTTCATTATTTTTGCTTCAATTGAAAGTTCCTTGTAGTCAAGTATATTAGTCATAAGTAACAAAAATTTTTCATTAAAAAGAATTGCATCAATCCCTTTAAATTTACTATTATTATAATTAGTATTTATTCATATATTATATCTTTAAATCAAAGGATCACTAATCAGGATATAATTAAGGAAATAGGAGTTGATGATACTTTTGTAATTATCCACCAATTTCTTAGAATTAAAGACTATCTACAGATTTATATCTAAGCGTTTCTTATGATAATGATTTTAATCACTGTTGGATATCATCTACACTTGTCACATCTATGCCTCATCCACACTGTGTCTCGACCCCACTGTGCTACCGCTTTTTTAAATAATAGAATTTGTTTTTTATATAATGTGTTTTTGCTTTATTATTTTGATTGTTTGTACGTTTATATCTAAGTGTACTACACTATTAAGAATAATAAATAATATACATATTATATTAGCTATTATTATTGATAGTTTCAAAATAAATAATAACAGAGTTATTTATAATTATTTAGTCAATAACTTTATTAATTCTTTTTTATGTTGTAACTAAAGCTGATCCATACATTTTACAATAAGTTATAATATTATAAAGTTAAAAATTTTAAAATAAAAACCAAGAATTTTTACACAAAAATAGCATTTGTTAGCCATATTCAGCGTGAAGACAAAATAAAGTCCAAACATTTTTTTTTTCCATAATATAGTACATTATATTAGCTTTAATTTAAGATATATATAGAAGTATTAGACTTTCAGGATCACTTTCAAAAATTAAGTGTAAAACTAATTTTTTTGTGAAAAATTTACCATTTTAATCGCCCACTGTGGGCAGGTAAAGGGTCAGATGTCTTCGACTAGATACGACTTGTGTTCTTTTGACGTATCGTTGATAGAAATCGGTTCAGTGAGAGCTGAGAAAAAATGGTAACAGAAACAAAAAAAAATAAAATAAAAACATATTATAATAAAATTAATACCTTCTCAGCTTCGCATAAAAGCTAAAATGTTAATTATAAAATATTGGGAACCAGGGCCATTCCGATAAAATAATTCGAGTGAGGATTAATTAAAATATTTTACAGACTGTACAATTTTTTTTATAAACTGTGTACCATCTTTATTTTAACTTCGATGCGAAGTTGAGAAGTTATTGGTTTTACTATGATGTGTTTTTTTTTTTGTGTGACTGTTACCACTTTTTCTCAGCTTTCACCTAACCGATTTCTTTCAACAATACGTCAAAAGATCACAAATCGTATCTAATCGAAGATATTACCCTCAAAAATTGAAAAAAATTTCTCTCGTTCCCCGTAAATGGGGGAAATCTCCAAAAAAATTACAAATTTCATAATCGCTAATTTTTTAAAATTTTTGAAATGTTTATTACTTAAAACTGCCATAACTTTTTCAAAAACGAACAAATAAATATAATTTTTATTTTTATAGATGCATAATGTCTTTACCTATCATTTGATATATTTTTTTATAAATTTAACCCTTAACCTGTCCACAGGGGGAATTCAAAAAGACAACTTTTTGAACTTACCTTTTGAAATTGTTTCGAAAAGTCTGACACTTTTAGATATATCTTAAATTAAGGCTAATGTAATGTACTTAATTATGGGAGAAAACAATTTTGGACTTCATTTTGTCTTCATGATATAAATGGCTACCACATGCTATTTTTGTGTGAAAATTCTCGATCTTATATTTTACATTTTTAACTTTAAAATGCTATAACTTTTTGAAAAATGTATGGACCAATACAATTTTTTTATGAGAAATAATATTTGTATCTCTTTTTTATTCGACTTATATCTCTCAATATAGGGTGTTCAAATCTTAAAAATGTATTTAGAAAGTAGAACTTTTTCAACTTAATTTTTAAAAGTGTTCTGGAAATACTGACACATTTATTTATATATTAAATTAAAACTAATAATCCTGTAGCTTCTGGAATAATCCATCATTATTTTTTAAATTAAACACTATTTACAGATTTGGATCGAAATGTTTTTTATATAGTGATTTTAATCACTATCAGATTAAATCTATACTGGACCCCACTATGCCACGTCCCCACTGTGCTGTTACCCAACTGTTATGGTTTTTATTTAAATTTGTAGGTTTTGGAATAATAATGTATAAAAACTTACCACTCCAATCTTTTAGTGGTGCACCATAATGATTACGGTCTAAACAGTCAATTAATTTTCTTTGCGCGTTCTTGAAATTATGACGTGTTTTATCCAAAGCTTCTCTGTTTGCGTTTGTTGTCTCATATATAGTAACCTGTTTAAAAAAAGTATTACTATTATGTTCCAATCTTCTAATATTCTATAAAATATAGATAAGTAGATAGTGAACTAAACACTTATTTATTTATTAATATATTAGTATGTAATTAATCATTTAATATTCTATTCATTTCAAAAATACACTTATGTCGTTTAATTAATTGAATTTAATTCATAAAAAAAATTATAAAGATAAAACTTAACAAAATTCATAAATGAGTAATAGAAATCCAACTAAACTAACTCTTCAATGTAAAATTACTGAAATAAAAAGGATGTTAATTTTAAAAATAAAAAGGATCTTAATATTAATTTTTAATACATTGTAATTTTATACATCATAAGCACTATAATTATGAAATAAATAATATTCTTTCCAAAATAATATAAATAAATAAATAAAATATGAAGTATAGATATGATTAAATAACTAAGTTAATCTTAGTAAGGCTCATGTAAACAAAAAGTATAGTAAAGTTTTTAGTAAGCTTAAAATAGCACTTAACTGCAATAACATAATAATACTTACAATAATGTAAAATGACTTTAATGCAATTAACTTCATTATGACGTTACTATAAAGTAATTAAATTGAGATTTAATTATTCTGAATATATTGTTGTGTAGGATTGATTTATTTTCCGAACAGACAAACCAAAATTAATATGCGTAAAAAGAACAATGCAAATGTTTTGATGAAAATATTCGGATTGTATTTATTTTACTGTCATTATCAAAAAATAAAATTAATCTATAAATACATGTACAGTGTGATTCATTAAGGTTAATAGTTTCTCGGAAACTATGCCTTGAATATAAAAAAATGCTTTTTATTATAGAAAAAAATTCTGTTTAACATTAAATGATGTTATACTTGACTGTGATAATTGACGACTGCTGTATTCTAAACAACAAATTAAGAATAGAAAATCTAAGCCTAGGCCCACTATACTCTTTAATTAATAAATATGAATCATACAAAAAGGCCAACTCTGACGATTGCCTTTTGTAATATTGAAGGTATAAATTCAAACAAAGAACAACTCCTTTCAGAGTTATGTATAGAGATTAAGCGTGACGTTCTGTGCATTCAGCAAACTCATAGAAGCGAGGAGATGAATTCGCCTAAGATCGAGGACATGAAACTCGTTTCTTTAAGACCACACAGGAAATATGAAAGCGCAATGTTTGTGAGAAACTCACTAGAAATAAACTCAGCCCAAATTACAGAAGAGAAAGATATTTTGAGCTCCTTACTATAGAACTTGGTAACTGTACAGTAACTTCCGTATACAATCCTCCAAATGCTATTTTCGAATTCAAGAAACCACTTAATTTTAAAACTCAACTATCAATATCAATATAATCAGTGACTATTGAAATTTTTCAATAACGTTAGATCTACACTAAGAATTCCGAAAATACAGAGGAAATCCAAAGTAGTAGCATTATTTAATCCGAGGAAAGATCCCAACTCTCCATTAAGCTATCAACCAGTTTCCTTCCTGTGTCATTCATATAAACTTTATGAAAGAATACTCCTAAACAGAGTATGTCCATTAGTAGATGACAAATTAATTAAAGAGCAAGCAGGATTCAGACCGGGTAAGTCTTGTATCGATCAAGTTCTCAACCTTAACCAATTTATTGAAAACGGTTTTGAAAGGAAGAAAATTACAGGATCGGCATTTATTGACATATCAGTTGCTTACGACACAGTCAACCACCAAATCCTCTTAATGAAAATCTACAATCTAATAAAAGACTTTAAATTTACTCAAATCATTGAATTACTATTAAGAAGTTGGAGGTGCAGATGGAGAAATACATAAAACAGTCTACCACAGGGCAGTGTCCTGGCCCCAACGCTGTTCAATATGTATACAAATGACCAACCAATTCCTACAGATAACAATGTTAAACTTTTTATGTACACCGATGATTCTGCAATTGCTTTTGAAGGAAATCAATTTGAAATAATTGAAGAAAAACTCACCAAATAACTGGAAACAATGAGTTATTACTACAATGATAACTATCTAAAGCCAAACGGCTAGATCTGCAAGTTGACTAAATCAACCGGGGGTGCTCATCTGCATGTACTACGAGTGTCAGCCTTGGCATTATGCTTCTTCGTGGGGGAGTATACATGTCCTGTTTGGGTACGGTTAACTCATACGGAAAAAGTGGACGTGGCATAAAACAACAGTTGCCACATTAAAACAGGATGCATTAAAAATACACCGATGAAGAAAGTATACTTATTAGCAGGTGTTGCACCTCCCAACATATGTAGACATGTAGTAATCACACCATTTTTTTCTTTAGTACAAATAAATAATATTTTCAAATATTTTTACTGACTTAAATTAAATTGATTGAGTTAAAACGTTGAATTTTATAGCATGAACTAGTATTAGTTGAAACAAATCATAAATAGTTTAATTTAATTAAAAAAAATTGCTTTTTCTGAAAATTTGTAAAAAAATATGGATATTAAAAATATAATTTTTTTAATTAATGAATTATAACATTTTTCAATTTTTATAAAATAAAATAAAATGAAATGCTATAAAAGTGCATTATATCTATTATGTATAAATGTAAAAAAGTCTTGGGATAAAGTTTATTTATTGCTATTAGGATACGTTTTTATGTGTGTCAGACACTTCTTGAATAACTTGAATAACTATTGTTTTTGTTTTTCATCTTTTGTTAAAATGTTGCTGTAATCTTAAATTAATTTTACGCCTCTATCTGCAACATTGTTTGTAACATTTAACTTATTTACGGTGTATAATACTATTATGTAGTCATCATTATGTTTCCACAAAATAGAATCTATGTTTAGAAAATGCATGCTAATTGTTTGCTTATGTAGCTGTTTGATTAAGTAGTAATAAATTCTTCTATATTCATATTAGTTATTATTTTAATATCATGAGATTGTAAAAAATATTTTTTTGTTCCTTTAAATTTATTATTTGTTTTCAATGCTCGCACCATATTTATTTTATTATTTATGGGTAAATTTCTACCAAAAAGTGCTGATTTTTCTGGTGATTAACTACCATAAGTGGTGACAAAAAACCTTTTCTACTGTTAATAAACTTATGTTTTCATCGATATATTTATATAAAAAAAGACTTTTTCAGAAACCCAAGTAAAAAAATGGAGCTTTTATAGCCTTTGCGTTTATTCACCTTATAATATATTCTTTCGAAAGAAAGAAAGATACAATCTCGAAAATCCTTTAACTCCTGTATTGTTGTTATTTTGACTGGTCTTTTGGAAAAAGAAAAATTTTAAAACTATAAATAGCTTTGTCCATCCATCTAGCATGATGAAATGCCCAGGGATTCTGAATGATATGACACAAGGAAGAACTCCACCTAAAGTCGTCTTTTTAGAACTATGAATACCAACTGATTCTAATGACGAGTTGTGTAACAAAAATCCTTCAATACTACTTGATGATTGAAGTTCAACAGTCTCAACTAAAAATTTTAATGATTATTATTAATTGTATAACTTTTTGGCTTAATTGTTAGACGATGCGATTTTGTTTTTGAGTTTTCCATTATACGCTAAAATTTAATTTTTCTAAAAATGTTTGTGTTATAATTGTCAAATATAATTAAGTCACAAAAACATTCTACGCAAAAAAATGAAATATTATGACTTAATTTACAATTTATGTTAAAAGTATATTAGTTTTAAAATAATTATGTTATGATATAATTATACTCATATCAAAAATTAATTTCATTAAAACTATATATAAGCTATTTTCCCTATTTAATATTATAATGGCCACGAGACATAAAATTATGATATACATTGAAATTACATACATGATACTGTACTGTTTTAGCCTATTGTATCTGTGTGGTGTGCGGAGTACTACCACACACATTTCTCTCGTAGTAAAATAATTTTACTAAAAGAATTTGTATGACATTATTTATTTTCTTTCTTTTGTTTTTACGTGAAATAAACGACTATACGACTGTTACGTGCTATGGTATTAAGTCGGCAATATTCTTGTTTGTTTTGTCTTTTTTATGACACCCATGACTCACCTTGTGTCAAATTTTTAATGGAATTGGATGCAATTTTTTTTTTATTTTTACTTAATATAAGGAGTAATATATAAAAATCGACTATGTTTTTATAATTAAAATAAAAATAAAAAAATGGTAGCACAGTGAAATCGAGGCACAGTGTGGATGAGGCATAGATGGGACAAGTATAGATGATATCTGACAGTGATTAAAATCACTGTCGTAAGAAACGTTTCGATGCAAATCTGTAGATAGTGTTTTATTTAGAGAAATTGAAGGATTATTCCAAAAGCAACATTAACTCTTATTTCTTTGATTATATCCTGATTAGTAGGTCTTTGATTTAAAAAAAAATATAATATATGAATAAATACTAATTATAATTATTAAATTTAGTATGAAATTGATATTCAATAATTTAGTATTGCAATTTATATGGAGAAATTATGAAAATAATAAACGGTAGCACAGTGGGGTCGAGGCACAGTATGGACGAGGCATAGATGGAACAAGTATAGATGATATCTGACAGTGATTAAAATCACTATCATAAGAAACGCTTCGATGCAAATCTGTAGATAGTGTTTCATTTAAAGAAATTGGTGGATTATTCCAAAAGCAACATCAACTCTTATTTCTTTAATTATATCCTGATTAGTAGTTCTTTGATTTTAAAATGTAATATATGAATAAATACTAATTATAGTTTTTAAATTTAGTATGAAATTGTGAGGCCAGCTATGATGTATGGTTAATAGTGTTGGGCGGTTGATAAGAAAGTAGAGCAGAGAATTAGTGTAGCAGAGATGAGAATGTTTAGTTGGATGAGTGGAGTGACTAGAGAAGATAGGATAAGGAACGAGCATATAAGAGGAAGTATAGGTGTTGCGTGAATCGTGGATAAGATAACAGAAAAAANAACGAGCATATAAGAGGAAGTATAGGTGTTGCGTCAATCGTGGATAAGATGACAGAAAAAAGACTTAGATTGTTTAGTCATGTTATGAAGAGAGAAGAATGGGAAGCTGTAAGAACAGTTATAGAAATGAATTTTGAAGCAAGAAGAGGTAGAGGAAGACCAAAAAGGAGATTGAGGGATGTTATTGAATGCGACATGAGGACAGCTGATGTGAGCATAGAAGATGAGGGAGATCGTGTCAAGTGGAAGCTTAGGATAAGGGTGGCCGATCCCAAATAGTTGGGTTTAAGGCAAAGAAAAAAAAAATTCCGGTGGCAATTGAAATAATATAATTGTTGTTTGGGAATGTACAATTTAGCGTTTAGTTGGGTTTAAACAATATCGTTTCAAATCAATTACCTACTCTATCGCTTGTATATTAATATACACTACACTTCTACGATACAATAAATAAATAAACTCACACATACACACATATGCATTTATAACATTGTGTCTAATGTAAGTATAACATGATAAAAAGTAACCGTAAAATGAAAAAAATGGAATATAAATTTTAGTACTCATATTAAATGTAATGTAACTCGAAAAATATTTGTTTAAATGAAAAAATATAAGATAATTTTTTTTGTATATAATTGTCTTTTAAACAATTTTTGTACGAAATTTTTTTTTTGTAAGTTAAATATTTTTTGAGAAAATTAAAAAAGCTC